GCACTGCCACCCTGCAGGCAAGACTCCCACTGAAGCCAGGCAAGCGGCAGAGCTCCAGCATCCCATCTCCCAGGCCCTGGGAGCCCCAGGCACCCATTAGCTCGGCTGTGCTGCTGCAAGAGGCACAGCCTTGGCTGCAAACGCTGTCATCGGCATTATCACTATCACAGGGGAGTAATTAGCGCAGACAGAGCCTGGGCGATCAAACAACGGCACGAGCCCTCGCCGGACCCCTCTGTACTTTCAGAATAGCTGCACGGTTTGCCACTTTGCTTTAACACTCACTGGCTAGCAAAGGCTGAAAGCCTCATCAGTAATTCAGGGCAAAGCACATTACAAGCAGGTTACAATTATGGTTACTCCAAACATCAAGCAAAATCAGAAGTTAAGGCTGAAATTAAAAATAAACAGAAGGTGTTGAAGGTCTGAGGTTTCTCAAACAACCCCCCCTGCTCTGTCACAATACTAGCTGCAGCAATCAGGCAGGAGCACTGCACGTTCACAGCGTGCTCAGGTTAAACCACCGCCGAGATGCATCAGGGTTAGGGCTGCCTTTTCTTCCTTTTTTTTTTTTCCTGTGAAACTGAGCTGAAGCTCCTCTAGCACCCTCAATCTTCATCATCTCACTTTAGTATGTTAATGTCCTTTAGATTCAACCATAGCTCTCATCTCCTGAATTTCAACAACAGCCACACCTCCAAGCGAAGCCTCTGCCTGTAGGGGATTTAACCCTGAATTGTAACGTGTGCTCCCACAGTACCACCTGGATACTTTGTGCACTGAAGTGAATCCGGTTCTTGTGGGGTTTTTTGTTAAATAGGAAAAGTTTTAACTCGAGAACAGCAATAAAGCAAGCTACCATGAGCTAGTTAGTGACTGAAGATGTACAGCAGGGGACTATCCCTTGCAGTGGTCACTTTTCTGCTAGATTCACCGGAGCCCTGGCTGACAGCGGGCACCAGCCCAGCGAGCTGGTGCAGATAGGATGAGCCTGTGCCCACTCCCCTCCTGCCCACACATGCCACAGGCCCTGTGGTGGCTCCTCCTCTGCAACCCTCCTCCCCTGGCTGGGCAGGCAGGCTGTGCCCACCCGAGTCCCTGACCATGCCATTATCCCTCACCAGAGCTCCTCCATCACCAAAGGTCAACTAGGACTCTCCTGCCCACCACGGAAATCCACCACTGAAGTGGGTCTTGCCATGGGACAGAGGCCACAGCCCACTGGTCTGAGCAGTGACAGCCAGGCTATCCTGACAGCAAGGACATTGACCAGTGAAGCATTTGTATGGGAACAAATCCTTCACCTCCTTCAGAACTGGGAAGGAGGAGCCGTTCCTACAAGTGGGAATGGGCTCATGAGCCTGTGAGCCTCCCTGGGACAGCAGGGAAAGGGACACAACTTGAGCAGAAATAATTACACCCTTGATTCTGCTTCTACAACTCTCTGCAACAGTGAATCAACACAAGAGTCAGCTCTCATCCACCCTGGGTGCAATTACAGCCGATCCGAGACTGTCAGTGACCAGGTGATCGGATCCCTCCCACGTAGCAAAAAATTGCAAGAGCTCAGGCAGGCTGGAGCAGAGCTGCAGCAGCCTCTCTCCCACAGGAGCAGTCTGCCAGGGGTGTTATCTGCCACTTTCCTCTACCTTAAAAAACCCCAGCGATTCAAACTGGCTGAACTCTGAAGGCAGCAATCAACTGCAGAAAATGAACCCAACTACTTCGGCACAGACATCTTCCTTTTCTCCCCCAAGGCAGCACTACCAGCTGCTACCAACAGTGAGAGTCACCTCAAGTCCTGAAGAATCCTCCATTTCCTTCACGGGGGTTTTGTTGCCCAGTGCTCTTTCTCAGCTCATGCCTATGTTCCTTGCAGATGAAGGCAGGCTGGGCAGAGCTGCCCAGACCTATCTCCAACGCCTGTCAGGCCTTGCCCATCTTGTTGAGGTGACCCAGCACAGCCAGAAAACTCCTAAAAGCACCACTGCTCCCTCTGCAAGCCCCGCATATGTCTGAAGAGCCCTCCTGATCTGAAAGAGCATGGGCCAGGGGCTCAATGAGGATGAGGAGGGAAGAGCAGCTTACTGGCTTCCTCCTTCAATTGTTTCCAAACACCAGTTTTACTGAGCAGCCCCCCAGCTACGCTGAAGTCAACTTTCTGACAGTAGCTGCAAGGCAGCAAGCCAGAAACCTGGATCCTCATGGAAAAGGCGTGAAGGGAGACAAGAAGAGAGGTGGGGTACGGTCAGATGCAAGGAATAAGGCTGTGGGTTTGAAATGCCATGCAACGCTTCAATCCACATTCACTGTTCAAAACAAGCTTTTGAGTAAGAGCCTGCTGCGTGAAAGGCTGCTGTTGCCATGAACCTCACCCTACTACGTGAGCACATGATCCACAGAAGTGGTTTTTTCAAACCTGCGCTTATGAGAATTCATTGAGAACTTCTCCATTTTACAGATTTAAAAAAGCCTGCACCAAAAATATTCACAGTTTATTTTTCATGAAACAAGTAACTAGTTAACACGTGACAATGCGAAGCGGAGGTGGACAGAGCAGTGCAGATACCTTTCTGGTTACAGCTGTAGCTGGCTGGGCGGCTGGCACGGAGGTAACCCTACTTACACAATCTACATGACTAAGTCCAGCTCATGGGAAGGCCTATAAATGTAAATTCAAGATTTATTTTCCTTCTCACACATGATAAATACTTAATATACTGAACGTCATTACCATCTTTTTTTTAATTTTGTTTAAAAAAGTTAAATGAATGCCCTTAGATTATCTTCTCTCTCAATGGCTCTGAGGAGTTGTCCTGATTCCCTTTGTGCAGGAGTCATGCAGAAACACAAGCTGCTTGCATCTCCCCAGTTTCAGCAGCAAGCAGGAACTGACCTGCCAGTCTTCCCGGAAAAAAACAACATTAAACAGTAAGTTTCCACAAGCCATAAAGCTTTTTGAAGTCGCTAGCTATTCTACAAAGGATCTGAAATGATTTGGACTAGAGAAGAGATGCACCATAGCACTGGTAACGTCCCCTCGTGCCCAGCACACCCGGCCTTTAAAGCTGGACATTGCCTTGGGGGGCATACATCAGGAAAGGAGAATGGATTGGGATTTGTCTCAGTACAAGTGTCTGCCTCCCTTCATAGAAAACCACAAAGCTCATGACCATCTGCTCTGGGAGCAGCAGGCACTTGCAAGCCAGGAGGGAACAAGGACCTGCTCCCAACATCAGAGGGAGAGGACCAGCCTGGATGCTCCCTTTCCGGGGAGGAATCTGCAGATCTGCCTGGAAGAAGGATACACTGGAGCTGCACAAGGGTCTGGTGGCGGGCATGGAGATCCGAGGCTGCAGCACCCGGATCGGCGGAGCTCAGGCAAACCACAGAGGTAATGTGTTGTGAGTGGGAGAATGTGCTGGTCAGCAGCGCTTCCTTGGCAGGATATAGACCCCATCCAGCCCGAGCAGTGCTGCCCAGGGCGGCCCGTCCTCCTCCTGCGGGTGAGGGTGCCGGTGGTCACAAGATGCCACTCCGCAGGTCCCTGGGAGTCTACTGCTTGCCCCATGAGTACCACGGCCAAGCGAACTTCTGCCTCAACGCTTGAGTAAACGGCTTTCGGCACGCCTAGTCTGGACATCAACTTGATGACCACCAGGTACTAAACATCTCCTTAACTGGAAATGGAAGAGGAAAAAAGAAAGCCAGCCAGCTGCTGGAGCCCACCGCGTTCCAGTGTGAGAACTACTATTCAGTTGGAAGGACACACACACACGTGCGCACACACACACACACACCACCACAGTCCAGTTAATTCAAGTCTCCTTTGGTTGTAGAAGAGTTAAGCCAGAAGCTACCCAAGGGGAAGGTGTTGAGATGGGTCCTGATACAGCTATGGCACCCTTGCCTCCATGCTGCGTAGCAAACGGTACAGGCTTCACTTGCAGCTCGGCAGTGCGTCCTGCTGCTGGGAAGACCGGGTATGATGTGAACACGTCCTGAACATGTCTGAGGCAAGGGGAAGCTCACGGTGACGACAGAAGTCAAGAAAAGACTGGATGGAAATTTGAAAGGGAGCACCATCACCCTGCCAGCGCGGTGCTCAGCACCTTGGGGAAACCCATTCTGCCCTACTTTGTTATTGCTGCTTTATAGGTCATAATGTTTTCAAGTGCAGAAAACACTCCATGTGTCTTGTGCTGAAGGATTACGACACAAGAATGAAAAAACAGCCAGATGGCTTCTTCCAAGATCTCTCTTTTGCCTGACTTCCTTCAGATTCCCCGTTTCTCGGGCCTGGTCAGTCGCAGCTTTGTACAAAGGCGCCTGAATGGATATTGTCTATTGCTGGAGAAAACTGCGCTGAGTGAGTGCAGCGAGCTCCTCTCCCAGCTCAGCTGGAGACGATACCTGTCCTTCAGTGAACCACACACACACCACGTCCCAGTGAACGTACGGACAAACCTCGCAAAGCAACACCCTGCAGGGCCAGAGACCTGGGCAGACGACAGATAAACCCCTTCCCTGCTTCTACAGAGTCCGGCAAGGGCATACACCTGACTGCTCACCGCCTGATCCCTGAAACACCTCCAGTCCCAGGGCAGCCTGACTGATCTGCTTCCTCTAAATACAGTAACAAGAGCAAGGCCCCTAGCTGTACCTGGGAACCTGCCTGCAAATCAGACCTGGAGCTCAAACATGCTGGATCAGTAACGTGACCATTTCAATGGAATTGGAGATTTTTTTACCCAGAGTGGACTCTTTATTACAGCTTTACCATTTGTAAAAGGAAGAGGTAAAGGTCATGGATGCTCTCTCCCTTTGGCTGGGCCACACTCAGACTTAAGAGAATGTCCTTGCTCATGTCACGAGAGAATATGGATGGGATGTGCATGGGTTAGGGGCTGGGCTCAGGGAAGTGAATAAAAAAAACAAAACAAAGATTCCCCCTCCCTAAACATTAAAAGACTGAAACCTGCCTCCCATATTCACCAACCTCACTTTGGCTCTGAGTCAGCCAACTCACGACAGACAGAATCCTGGTTACGGGCTAGCGCTGTGTTTTGTTCAGGCAAAGGGTCCTGCCCCCGAGGAGTCTGTGCTTTTCCACTCAGCCAAGAAATCTGGTCAATTGTCTGAATGTTCGTGACAAGCCACTGCATCTGCTCCGGGGGCATCGGCGCTTCCCTGGCTGGCCGAGGGGTCTGCTCAAATGCACACAATCTCTCTGATGTCCAAGGGGTTTGCTCTGAGGGGGCTGAGGCCACTTCCCAGCTGGGTTGAAGGGTTGGCTCTGGTAGTTTCTCTGCTGACCGGGGAGGCTGCTCCGCAGGCGTCAGGGCTTTTGCAGTGGGCCAGTGGGTTTGCTCATGCGTCTGTAGTTTCTCCGTAGGCCAAGGTACCTGTCCAACATGCATCACTGCCTTCCCCGCAGACCAAGAGATTTGCTCGCCAGCTAACATGGTCCTCTCTTTCTGCTGGGGATTCAGCTCCATGGCTGGGGCTCCTCTCTCTTTCGGCTGAGCATTCTGGTCAACAGGCCGCAGCGCCTTCTCCGACAGCAACAGCCTCGGAGCAGATGCAGCCAGAGGCTTGTCCAAGGCTTGAGGCCGAGGAGCCACAGCAGCAGCCAGCTTGTCCGATGCCCCAGCTTGTCCGATGCCTGAGGCCACGGGGCTGTAAGAGTGAGAGGCCTCTCCAAGAGCTGAGGCCGAGCCACTCCAGAGCCAAGAGCCTTCTCCGGAGGCAGGACCCGCAGGGCCCCAGAGTCGGCAGCCTTCTCCGGAGGCAGGGGCCGCAGCACCCCAGGGGCGAGCGCCTTCTGCATGAGTGGGATCCGCAGGGCCCCCGAGCCCAGAGCTTTCTCCATGGGCAGGACATGCAGTGACCGGGAGCCAGGGGCCTTCTCCGGAGGCAGGGGCCACTGCATCCCTAAGCTGGGAGCCTTCTCTGTGGGTAGGATCCGTGGCATACTTGAGGCAGGAACCTTCTCTTGAGGCAGGGGACGAGGTGCCCCAGAGCTGGGAGCCTTCTCCGTGGCTGGAACCCGCACTGCCCCAGAAAAAGAAGCCTTCTCCGGAGGCAAAGGCCGTGGCACAGCTGATCCAGAAGCCTTCTCCATGGGCAGCATCCGTGAGACTGGGGAGCCGGGGACTTTTTCAATGGGCAGAGGCCACAGCACCCCAGGACCAGGAACCATCTCCAACGCTGGGACCTGTGACACCATGGAGCTGGAAGTCTTTTCCACAGACTGAGGCTGTGGACTCTGTGCAGAAGCTCTGACCAATGGTTGAAGCTGATCAGCCGCAGGAGGCTCATCCACCAGCTGAGACTGCAGGGTCCCCGCCGTGGCGAGAAGTCTGTCCGACAGTTGAGGATGCAGGCATTTTGTTGGGAACTCATCCAGCAGCTCAGGCTGCTGGGTCCTGGTGTCAATGAGAGACTTGTCCGACAACCCCAAAACCCCAGGGGCAGCAGGAAGCTCGTCCGACAGCTGGAGCTGCAGGGCACCAGCAGTAACAAGCGACTCATCCGATGACTGTGGAGTTCCCGGAGGAGATTTGCTCGGCAGATGAGGCTGCAAGGCATCACTGGAGGACTCATCCAGTGGCCACAGCACTGCATTGGTGGGAGGTTTGTCAGGCTGCTGAGGCCTCAGCGCTACGATGATGGGTTGCTTCTCTGACTGCAGCCTTAGGGATAGGGCAGCCTGGGGCCTGTCTGACGGCTGCAGGCGGAGTGACAGGGTAGTGGGAGGTTTGTCCGAAGGCTGCAGCCGGAGTGAGAGGGTGGTGGGGGGTTTGTTGGATGGCTTCAGCCTCAGTGACAAGGTGGTGGGGGGTTTATTTGATGGTGGCAGTCTCAGCGCCAGGGTGGCGGGTGGTTTGTCTGGTGAAGGCAGCCTGAGGGCCAGGGTGGTGGGGGGCTTGTTTGATGGCTGCAACCTCAGGGCTAGGGTGGTAGGAGGCTTGTCTGATGGCGGCAGCCTCAATGCTAGGGTAGCAGGGGGCTTTTCTGGTGACTGCACTCTGAGGGCCACAGACTGAGGTAGGCTGTCCAGAGGCTGAACGCTCAGGTCTGTGTCTGCAGGTGGCTGCTCTGGTGGCTGGGTGTCCTCGCCGTTAGCCAGGGCTCCTATGGGAGGCACATACTCACGAATTTCTCCCGGCTCTAGAGGGTTTGGTCCACAGGGATCATGCTCTGTGCAGCATAAACGTCCATCCAGCTTGGAGATGAAGAGCATGCCTTCACGGTGCTGCTTGCAGAAGGACCTGGGGCACATTTCGCAGAAGGAAGCTGCTTCCTTACCACACATATCACACTGATGCCACGGGCACTCCCATTTTCCTGCAGCACAGACACAGGAGAAAAGACATACCTTAAGAGCAGTACAAGGGCAAGAGACAAGGCCTGCTGCAAAGGGAGTTCAAGGGAGAGTGGGAACACCCCTGTAATACTCCTGTACAATTCTACATGTCCTCCTCAGTTTCTGCCATAGCTCCCAGGTTCAACGGGCAGTTAACAGGAACCCGCATGCTCGGAAGCAACAAGGGCAATGATAATCATGACAAACACAAGTCAGGCCAGGTCAGACCAAAAGCCCATCTGGCTCCAGCACAATACTAACCAGTATGGGCACTTAGAGAAGAGCAGACAACCCCAGCTTGCATATCTCTCTGGCTCTGACTTCCAGACAACAGTGGTATCTGTGTATAAAACACCCAGTGGATTTTTTAAGTAGATGTGTCAGGTTCATCTAAGTCTTTGTTAATTCTGGGCCAACTACCTCCCTTCTTGTTTATCAGAAAGAAGAAGTGAGAGGGCAGTGATCACAAGGGAGTCAGTTTCTATTGTCCCTGTACCCAAAGGCATCTTCCTTAACCTGTGTGTATGGCCATGATAAAAATACTGCTTAACGCAAAGCCAAGCTGCTCCCTGAGGAGCTCCATGTCCACACTGAATCTATTCACCATCAATACCAACACCACCACAGAGGAAAAAAAACAACGTTACACTTCAGAGATTGCTGCTTTTGTCACTTGTACATGACTTCACTGGTTCAGCTCCCTACTCCCCCAGCCAAGGCTGCCGCCCTCTCTACCAAATGCTTCTCACCAGTTCATAGACACAAGGAACAACGAGAACATTTGCACCCAGGGTACATGATGCTGAATTCCTGACCTCTCACTATAGGACCTGCACGGTTGCCTTTCCAAATATGCCTCCTGCTTCCATGCTGCCCCAACACCCCATACCCCCACAGCCTCCCTGGCTCCCTGCAGAGCAGCCCTCGCACAGGCCGGCCTGTGCTCAGGACATGATCAGTGACAGAGGGCAGCCGTGGATGGCAGCTGGGCCACAGCACTTCCCAGCCTCTCTGAACCAAGCCCACACATCTGTGGCTTTGGCTACCAGCTCTTTTCCAGGGAGGGTGGAAGAGAGCATGACTGCAGCACAGCACTCGGCAGCTGTGGGCATTTCTCGATGCACTTGTGCAACATCAGCTTTCCACTCCCTTCTCTCACACCACTTTTCCCCTGGGGTTGATGACAACACGTAGCATGTTTTTCCCCTCCTTTGAAGCCAGTCCAAGGTTTCTGTTCCAGTCTCAAAATATGCAGACCACTTTTCTGTGTCTCTTCCAATTTTTCAGCATCCTTTTCAGAGCAGGGCTCTTTAACACTACATGTGGTTTTCCCCCCTTCCAGGCTCATGGTGCTGCAGCACAGGCTGTCGCTGCTCCCCCTACACCATCAGCAACCCAGAGAGCCACGCTCAGCACTCACTTCGGTCACTGGAAAGACTCTGGGACTATTACTACAGAGGTCATTTGTACGAGTGGAAAATAAAGTAAGTCAAAACCTGCCAGTATGTTGCAGGAAGGATAAATCCTATCAAACCATTCTAATGGTCTTTGACAGGACAGAATGCCTAATGAATAAGCAGCCTTTCCAGAGACAGCCCAGAGCTCTCAGAAGTAAGATCACAGAATTAGTAACTTGCAAACAAGCAGGAAATTCCAATTACTCGACAGCAATGCCCATGGCAGATGAAACACTTGAAGTAAAAGGTGTTGAACCTTTCATATCCTGCATGATACTCTAAGGAGCAGGGTATGAAAGTACCAGCCTACATGTAAAAAGAGTAAAATGGCTACAACTGACTGAAAATCATTCTCAAAAAACAGCTGTTAATGGTCTTCCAGCAAACTGAGGAGATGTTTCCAACAACATCCTTCAGGAGTCTGTTTTAGTCTGTATTTTAATTTAAATTTCTGGAAGCAAAACAGCAAATATTCTTACAGAAAGAGGTAAATAACAACAAGGCTGTGACTGACTGCAAAAATCTGGTTAAACAGGTTCAGAATTTAAACTGGACAGATGTGCTTGCACCAACAAGGTGCAATTAAATAAAGACCACTGCAAAGCAGGACTGCAGGAGGAAGAAATACAGTAAGTATGTGAAAAGGATCAAGACGAGGACTCAAGGACGATAGGGCAAATCACAAACATCACATAAATAGAAAAGTTGTTTTTGCAAAACAAGTCAAATCTCATTTCCCAAGAAATTTTATGTAAAACACAAAACACAATTATTCTCTTCCGTTGGTGTCAGCAAGGCCTCAGCTGCAATACTGTTAAAATACTCGTTACCACATTTTTAAAAATATGTAGGCAAGTGGGATAGAGTCTGGAGCAGATCAAGAATAGTAATTTTAGAAAATAAGAGCTGCAAGGAGAGGCTGTGTTTAAGTGGTAAAGGACTAAGGTGACAACAGTCTCCCAATATGTAAAAAAAGGCGTATCGGAGAGAGGACAATCCTTTTGTTTTTTCAAGTCAGGCTGTTAGGACAAACTCTTCAAACGGAAAGCAGGGGAACAGGCGAAGGGCTGGATTCTCCTTTATTGGAGACTTTAAAGCATGGGAAAACCTGCCAGGATGTTACAGACAAAAATGGATAGAAAAGCAATATTCAGGAGTCTCTCACCCTAAATGATGTTCCATAAGAACGACCTGTACTCCCACTGGCTTTCACACTGCTCTGTTACAAACTTCGTTCAATGAGCAATCCAAGCTCTTCTGTATAAATGCCCTATTCTCCCCAAAATGTAACACACGCACACACATAATTTCTGTCATCTACAAAATATGCTACTAGCCCTTCTATACCTTCTGCCAAATTACAGCTAGAGGTGCTGAGTGCCCAGTCCTGGCTCCCTGTGGCATGCCGACAGAAACACTCTGTCGCAATGACTCTCTTGGCAGTTACTTTCAGAGACTGCTTGGTTCCATCTTTCTCAGCCTGCCTCTGATGTGTTCAGAAAATACTGTACTGAGTACAGTACTGCATAGAGAATTTCTATTGATGACAATGCTTTCAGTATTAAATCAAAAGATTTACAGTCCTCTGAACAAATTACTTCAATGCAGTTGCTTTTATCAACCAAATTTATTATCTTAGCAAAACCCCCTACATTAGGTTTGATGAATTATTCTACCTACAAACTTGTCATCTAGTATTGTTTATATTCTTACCATTTAATCCTTTAGGCACTTGATCCTGTATCAGCTTTTCCATCCTCCTGGCCTGGCAGACATGGGGCTAACCGGCCTACCAAGGCTGAGGTCAGACTTTACACCTCCTGAGCTACTAACAAACTCAAAGCTGGTTTATTGCTCATACAGGGAGCCTATTTCTTTCTCTGCATCCCAACTAGAAATACTTTTTGAATACTTTTTCTTTTTATTGCAAATTTCTGCCCTCATTTCACCACAAACTAGGATATGCTTTGATACCATTCTCTTTCTTAACTATGAACTCATGGCTATTCAGACATGTAACACATTCTTCCCTAACTTCTATGTTCCATTAGTGCTTTTCCTCATCATTCAGCTCACTCAATTGTCTTCAACTTTGGCAAAACAGCCAATCTGAGGAGCCAATACCTCAACTATTGTTGGGACTGTCCTCTGCCAGGACCCAAGGATGGGGTCAGCTCACAAGCACCATTTCTTAGGCAAGGACCAGCTCCCCCTTCAGAAATTAATCCATCTTTTTGCAGTCACAGTGGGGTGCAAAACCAGGGTTGTGTCACATGGGCCTCAAGGTCTGTTAAAGTGAGAAAGATTTCTCTCAGTTTTAAGATGCTGTGAAGTGAGTGCAAGGTGATGAGCAGCACCTGGCTCACCTCATGCCAAGGCCATGGCCCAAGCCCAGCCCAGCCATGCAGAGCACTGACCTGCAGGTCTCTTGGTCAGGTTGAGGCAGTCCGCGTGGTACACTTTGGGGCAGCCTGGCTTCTTACAAGAAACTAGTTGCCCTCCATCCCCACAGCTGAAACACTCGTCCTCTCGCTCCTTCATCACCTCTGCCTGCGACCTGCGTTTCATCTGCGGCCGTCTCTTCAGCTTCTTGGACTTTTCCTCGGTGAGGTTGGGTTGGCTCTGCGGGTGAGACAATCTCAGTCAATGCAAGTCTCTGCCCCTTCCATCTGTTCCCTTCCTGTTACACTGGAGACAACTGCAAAACCTGCAAATAAAAATCCCACCACTGCCAGCCATACCTGAAATGTATGCAATATCTCTACAGTGCTTAATATTTGGCAATCCATTTACTACAGCAAATAGTTCTTTTTTTTTTTTTTTTTGGAAGAGCCTGGAAGCTCTGCACCAAAGCCTGGTTAAACATGGCATATATACAATTAGCAACAGCAGAATGAGGAGCTGGGGCTGGCTGGTGTCGCTGAGTTCATGCCACCTCTCACAGACTCTTCAGGTCCTCAGTCAGAGCAGTCAGGTCTCCTCGTACCCATGACTCATGCAGAGTCTGTCCCAGGTCATCCTGCACTTTTGGATATTCCTCACTCCTTTCTGCATTTTCAGTCTGAATTTGGCTGTGATCAGTTTAGATCTATTTGTTCTCGTGTCAACGCTGCTCTCTTCCGGCAGAAGTTTTTCTCTCTCCCTGAAGTAACTACCAGGACACACTCTCCTTCTCACAAGCCAAACACTTTCACAGTCTGCACTCTCAGTCTTCCTAATGGCTTTTCTCTGCTCCTATTGAGTTTATTTCTCCCAAACACAAGTTACAGAACTATACACACTACTTCATATGACGCCTCAGACGACTTCAGATGACAGAGGCCGTGTACGATGACAACGCTTCTCAAAAAGAATAGGAAATCCCTCCCAAAGCACCATCTGCATTTGCCTTTTTCACATCTGCATCACAACAGCAGCTCAGTCCTGCAGCAGCTGAACTGCACAATGGCTCCTTCTCCACCATGACTGCTCATCGATGACCTTCTCATGGCATAGTTGCTTCTGCTATTAACCTCCAGGTGTGTACTCTGGTGTACTGAATTTCTGAACTCCAGCCCATACCCAGTCCTCAGTTACTCCTTTGCAACTGCCCCATCCTTTCCCTCTCCCACACCTGACATCTTTGTGTCATCAGTACAGTTAAACTACTACCCTTCCAAAAGCTGTGCTACAGGCAGTAATGAAATAACCACAACTTGTCTCAAGATTAGCATCTAAATGATTTACATGCTCTCTTCTCTAGCCTAAGGCTTCCTCCAACGCTGTCCCCCCCGGCCCCTTCAAGCTAACTCCTCCGATCACTCCTATCTCCCTCTCCAGGTTAAGTCTCCCCTTGTACCAAACACTGAATTCCACAAAGACCATGCTACCTGTCCCCAGTCAGCGACCTTATCAAAGTACTATCAGTTTAGTTTATCTAAACAGACATAAGCTAAATTTTATGCCATTTTCCACATATCTTCATGTCCAAATATGCGTGCTTCATGCAGAACATCTCCATGTGTCGAGACAACGCCTACAAGGCGATTTTTGCATCCTTTATTCTGCAGGAGTATTGGGTACTATTTTCATTGCTCTCCTATCAAGATTAGAAACAGAAACACCAAAACATTTAAAAACCTTTGTCTCCAGACCTGCAATTTCAGAATTTGGCAGCAGTGGTCATCCAGCTGTCCTGCCACCAGGGAGTTACATCTCTTGATTGTTTCCTTCCCCTTCACATGTGGATATTTCTGTTTTCATACTGTCATTCCCATTGACAATGGGGACAAGTCAGGCCTTTCTTATCATTGAAAATGCAGGCAGTGAATACACTCCACCTAAACTATTGCACCTATTCTCAGCGCCTAGTACCGTGGCCATCTAATTACAAAGAGAACAAGAAAAACCTTTCACAGCTAATTTGAATGTCTAAGCAAGGCCTAACAGCTGGACTAAGCGATTCCCACTTGCTCACAGCAGTACAATGGACTCCCAAGCATTCTTCCACACTTCCAGCTAGAAAGGACACTTTTAAGACTGAACTTGAGTATAAATCAGTTTTGTCTTGCTGTATCTTCAGGAAGCTTAAAATGCATCTATTGTGGGATGAATTTGAAAAAAACCCCAACAAACCCCAAGGTACTGTTTTCTTGGGTATTATTTCTTAGCCCATCTCATCAAGATGGAATGAGTCGCCTCAGGCATCACAATGGAACATTAATGCCAACTAAAGGGCACCTTTCTCTGATTTCCATTATGCAACCTGCAATTTCAGGGCAAAAATGACAGTCAAGCCATGTATAACACAGGAGCAGCACAAAATCAATTGAACTTTAAATCGCAACGCAAAAAAGAACTAAATACATCAGATGTGTAATTCACCTCATCTGTCAACTTCTGAAGACATCAATTTTTTATCATAGGTTAATTTTTCTGCAGAACAAAGCTCTCTGGAGAATTCACAAAACCTTCCCTATATATTGACGAGGCTTAACAACTGTGCTGCCAGAGCTTTTAACCCTTAACTGTAGGTAAGTAAGCCACCCATATCCACATGCCAGAGCAGAGGGATTACAGACTGATTTGGTGAAGCTCTTGAAACAAACCAACAGTTGACACACAGATTTAGCTGGTGACAGTTAGGAACTCAGTCAACTGCTCCTGTTATTTCCTTTTCCCAGTGAGAAGCAGCTCACACAAGGAGGTAATTGATTGTTACTGCAACATTACAGTTACAAAACAAAGCTCTGAAAAGTCAGTGAGTTCCAAAAGCTAGTGATTTTTCTATTACAGATATGGCAAATTTCTTATTCCTGTCTAATGCATAAACTTCAGTCGCTTAACTAAAAGAAGGAAAAAAACAGGAACTTTCTTATTGCAGCAAAGATGTTGATGTAGAAGTGTAGAAGCCTTCTGGCTCTAAAGCAACTCCAGTCTGAAGGAATGCAAGTTTGCTGGCCTTCCATGCATGCTCACAATTTAGTCAGGCCTTTACTTTGGGAAATGGGCTGAGCTGTGGTTTCTTGGTTATCCAATGGAAGTCTTTCCCATGCCTGTCCTTTGTTCCTCTAGTGCAATGGAAATTGCAATGATAATGAGCAGAAAATTCTGAAAAAAAATATTTCATTTACTCTTTTGGTGTAAAATACAATTTCCTGTCATTATTTATAGCAACTCTAATAATTGAGGTCTAAAATCTGCTCTCTCAGAATGAAAACTTGAATATTCAACTCATTTCAAGCAGTGTTCTCATGGCCATACATTGAAACCGGATTACCCTTCCTGAGATCTCTACAACAAATGATACACATCTATGTAAAGAGGTGATTTGGAGGAACAAAAGCTTAAAGGAGGCATCGTACCTTTGGCCGTACTCCTAGGAAGCCACTGCAATTTGGGGCACCACATTTACAAACTGTCTTTCCATTTCCCAAGCACTCCAGATTGTAGTTGAAAGTCAGCTCAGTCCCTGGCACAAAAGCAGATCAAAACCAAGCAAGTTGTAATGAAATATGGGGCAGAACATCTTACTGCTGAAGTAAAAGCACACTTGAAATTTAATGCCACAAATGACTGTCACAACTACAAAAGGATACCAAGTATTAATCTCCCCATAGATCTGTGTGGATTGAAAACTGAGTGCAACCCCACACTCCTATCACATACTACAGCTAAAAAGGGCATTCAACCCCATCTTGTAGCATGCTTAGTTCCATTTCTTGGCCCTGTAAATCAGAACTACGAACCTCCATTGATACCATGGATGTATGCGTTTCATTATGTCAGTGCTGGTGTTAAGTCTCATGAAACCCTATGTGAAAACAAAAATTTAAGTATCTCTCCAGGGAGCTACAAATCCTCCCCTTTCCTTAGAGAAATACTCCCACACTTTTAATTGCAGGTCCTGACAAGAGTGAGTTCCTTACCAGCTTTGATATTTACAATTGCGAAGAGCCCGACCCGAGTATCACCATTCACACACCACTTCTGAGTCTCACAGTTTGGCTGGCAGCAATGGTTCATGAACCGAGCATAATTGCCCTTTGGCCCAGCATCAATGATTCGATCCTGGAATTGAACAAAAGCAAAAAAAAAACCCAAAACAAAACAACGAAACCAAAACAAAACAGAAAAATACATTTAATAAACTGTCATTTCCTGCTCAAGCCATTGCAGCTCAGGTACCAGTATATCAAGAAAGCTTTAATCAATAATGAAGAGTGTGACAGCAGAGGCATCTCATGATGTTTGCAAAGCACCTGAGTTCATACTTGTGTTTTACCAGAGTGTGACAGGTGTTGCTGTGTTGCCTGGACAATCAACAGACACCCAACCAGTTTCCACACACTGATGTCTCTGGTCAGAGCTTGCAGATCATATGGCAATACAGTCTCCTGCACAACATCATCTTCCTCTTCAAAGACACATGGGTTCCTGAATAGCCAAGAAAGTGCTACTGCTGCTTTCTGGGAAGTTAGCTCTCCCTGCGGTGTCGGTACTGCATAAAAACTACACCCAGCACACTTCCAAGGCAACACTTGTGGTTCCAGACCCCAACTTCTGCTTAAAAGCAAAATACCAGTTCCTATTTCTTGTACATCGGTTTATAGAAGGAAAACAGGAACAGTATGTAACGTGTGTGAGGTACACTTCTGTACATTCTACACTTCTGCCACTTATTGGAGAGGAGAGGGCAGCTGCAACTGAGGTTTGGGTTTGTAATAATGAGGGAGATATTAACACTTGGTTTTGCCCCTGCTCCCACTCACCAGCCAGACAAGGAGAACAAGATACAGTCAGTGTGAATTTCCAGCAAAAAGAGGGGAGAGCCAGAAAGCAGTCACATCATTACCCTGTCCCACACTCAACAGCTTCTTCCCATGCCTGCTTTCATGGTTTCCTTCTAATCTTTCCAAGGTTGAGCAACAAAGTGCAGAAAGCAGCTCACAAAACTACTTACCTGTGAAAGCCAGGAGCTCATACCAACAACGTGGCCTCCAGGACCCACTGAGGAGCCTGTGGGTGTAACAAACTCCATCTCTCTACTTAGATCAGCAAGACCTGAGATCTGAACTTAAATGAAGGTCTCATTGTGCCTGATACTTGTACATCTGAGGGCTGATGCCTTCTCTAGCACACACCATCCCAGTTCTGGACTCTACAGGGTTCAGCTGCTGGGAAGGATCCTGAGGTTAACAAATTCACCCTGTTATGGTGAAGCAGCATCTACAATCCTTAGACAACTGCCCTCAGACAACTGCCTCACCTCTTCTGAATAACTCCAGAGAATTCAGTTCAAACTTTCCTCCTAATCCCAATATCCAACCTGAAGCTTCTCTACTCCATGTTAAGTACATTCTTTTAGTCTTCTCTTCAGTGGAAATGCAGACCAGCTCATCAGCAACTCTTAGCATCTTTTTACTTGCTGGAGATCACTATCATGCCTTCCTTGCGATCATTTCATTTCTGTCTAGGATCCTGGCAAAAGAAATTCGTTCCACATACCTTATCCAGTGTCAACATGTAGAAATTGGTAATGTCATGCTCCTGAGCATAGCGGATTTTTTCATTCCTCTTCATCAATTAGCTCCCCAACATACTCATTAACAAATTCGCCCTGCCAGAGAGAAAACAAGCTGATAAGACAAGACAAATTCCCTCCAGGATGAAGGGACATCCACCTTTGTGCTAAAACTTAGTTCCCATTTCCTTTGTGGAAACCTTTTTTTATGAAAATCTTCCTCTGTGCTTTGCAGCCAGTTTGACCTATACTCTTGACTAAGAGCCCTGAATCATACATCTGTTTCACACGCTCAACAAGTAACTCGAAATAAATTAAATGAAGCAACAACGACCATCAAATTATTCTTTGTGCTATGGAAAGAATTAACATTCAGGGACAGCATAAAAGTAAATCACAAGAACAGCTCTTTGCTGCAAAGCTCAAAGCACTGCACAACTGTGTTCCGGCTGGAAACAATATCCCTTTGGGGACCAACTACACTGAGCAGCATGATGCACCTAGGGCACCTGCTCCTGCAGTGAAGTACTGCATAGACCATACTTCAACTGTCAAAGGGAACCCCAGCTCTGCTCCAGTGGAGTTAATAGGTGCCTCCATTAAATAACTGAGTTTTGCTGTTTCCAGACTGTCTGCTGAAAGTGAAACATAACAGGCAGGAATGGCAGAGAGATCCTTTAACCTATAACACAGCAGGCAGCAAAGCCTAACAGGATAGACTCACATTTTTCCTTCTGCTATCAAGCCCTACCCCATAGCATGTTGTCCCTACTCCTTTTTCAGATGTTCTTTTGCTACTATGCTAATTGTCCTCTGTCTCACTTCACCCTTTTTTAGCTTTGGGCTTCTCTTTGCTTTAACATTCTTCCTTCTTCATTCAGCACAGATGTGTGTCCACAGAACTACTGTTCTCTGCATTTAAAAAAAAAATACACAAGTGTTTCAGCTAGAGGTGTTAGTTTCAGCAATAATAATAGCCATCTCCAAGACATTACCCTTTTGTAAGAGCCAAGCTCTGGTTTCAGTTTCTGATACAAGATTCTCATGCTGGAAAAGCATGGCTATTCAAGAATTGGGGGGAGGTATAATCACTGTTCCCCATCTGGAAATCCTGAGCACCGTCTTCAAGCCACTGTTCTGGTGTACTCAAAGCCCATTGTCCATACAAGCAGACAGATCGAGTAATCATCTTTCCTACCCTATGGGACATCAACATGCAAATCATTTTCTCGGTTAGCTGAGCCAAAACATTCTTGACAGGACTGGAAAATTTAAATTAATCCATTTCTTTCCTAAATCGCATTCTATGGCAATAAGTCTTCTTCAAATTATGGAAGTTAGCAATTTTTCCAATCTATTGAAACTAACACTGAGCAAAAGAGAAGTGGCAAGAAAAAATTACACACAGAAACAGAGTACATACCTTTCTGATGTCTGTTTTGGCTTGCAAACCCCAGCCTCGTGCCAGCGTGCGGAAAATCTGTACCTCAGGATACTGCCGCTTGGAGAAGCACTGGTTCTGGCAGCGCTCCCCAGCAGGGCAGACCATGGGATGGCATTCATAGAGTAACATGCGATTGATGCATTCGGAGTCCAGGCCGCATGGGTTTTCATCTGTTGGTTTGCAGTTGCAACGTGGTATCTCGGACAGGTCTGCAGTGAAGATCTGCACCTTACCCACTGGCCGGTTCACCTTGAACACATGTGAAGGACGTCAGCTCTCAAGAACAACAGGTTATCCTGATAGTCACTTCTACATTCAATCCTTGCCTACAAGCTGAAAGGCTGCAGTGTGAGTTAGTTACAGTGAGGGGCAGAAGGACACAAGCACAGGCTCTTCTGTACTTAGGCACACACTATTTCAAGAGGTATACTGTTAGAGGGAAGAGCTAAGGAGGATGCAGGTCCACCATTAGCATTCATCTGGTACAATGTGTATTCTGTGACCCCAGAGTGGGGAGAGGCTGCCAAGTGTCCCCCTCCGATCACCACTGTGTCTGCATCCAGCCCAGGTGGCCCCAGGCTCTTGCTGGGCGCACACCGTAACTGTGTCCAACACCAAACTATTTTCTGTGTGAAACAGTGCCTTCTCCAGTATCTCAGTGTCAGGTCCTTTTCCTTAGCTTTTCCTTATAACCCTGGTTTTTGAATCTGTTACCTTCCAAGTGGTTTGTGCTCTCAGCTGTCACTATGAGAACCAGGCTGGCATGCCCACTGCAGATTACAGAGGGCCTACCTACACACCAGGCCACAAGCAGCTCCCTACCCAACTGTCCTGCAGATGTAAATGACACAAACCAGACAAGGCTGGGGTTGGAAGGCCCAAAGAGGAGCTCAGTTAAGCCATGGAGCTCTCTAAAAACCACTCCAGAAGGAAGCGGAGCGCAGCACCAGGTGGAAAAGCCACTGGCATGTCTGTGGCATTAGCAGGGTCCTTTGGTTTTGGTAAAAGGCAGCAAACGTTGAAAGGTAGGCAACAGAGTCAGGACTCTGGAGAGAGACACTGAAGAAAAGCTCCTTGCTGTTCTTTGCCTGGGTGAGCAATACCATCGTATCCCTTTCCTCTCCCAGAATACAAAAGCAGGGGATCATTCAGCAAAACTACTTCAGCTTCCACATAATTTATTTAGTCCTACCCACAGAGCAAAGTTTCTGTGCTGGCAGCCTGTCTGAGGCTGGCCCTAGCCTCGATCCTCCTCCTCTGTTTAAAAGAAAACCCTGCAGAAACCCCTGATAAATCTTTTCAACATAGTCTCCCCTTCCTCCTAGTACTACCTCCCACCTCCGACCTTCCTTGTCACTCCTGTGTTCTCCTCTGCTGCTTCCCATCTCTTACTCAAGCTGTTAGCTCATCACCTCGTTAAGAGTGATGAGACTGGATTAGGTCCATCCACCACCAGGCAGACAGAGGTGCCCTTGCCGGCTCTGGCACTACCACTCCAAGCAGCTGTGGTGTCCGAGCACGCAGATGTACCCAGCAGGCCTGCCCCACTTTCTGAGGCACTGCCAGTACAAAACCAGCTCCAAAACCGGGTGACGCTTGGGCCAGCCACAACCCTGATGTGATGAAGGATCCCAAGTGTATTTTGCATCGGATGGACCCCAATGTGCTGATCTCCTTAGGCCAGGACAGGAGCGGACACAGCCAGCTTCACCCATTCCATCCTGAAAGCCTTCTACAGTTCACAGTATGCCCCTGCAAGCTGCTGTGCTTTCACAGAGACAAACAGCCTTGTACCCAGACCTCAGAAGATCTGCCATGGCTAATGACCGTGACCATTATTATTTGTATTAAAAGGGTATTTCAAAGGCTCCAAACTGCTTCCAAAGTTCCTTCATGTTGCAGAGACAGGCTTAAAAATACCTATCATGAGAAACTGTATTTCCTCCACTGAAGGTGCCTGGCTCATACTGCTGCCACAGCATTTAGTTGTGTTCTTTACAATGTACAGTAACTCATGCAGGATATATCTGTCTGCCTAGAAATCCTAGCTAGAAACAAAAAGTGCCAGCCATCAGTTAAGCTTTCATAGCTTGCCACATAAAAAAGGGAAGGAGCAGACAGAGGCAATGAAAAAAGAACAGAGTCCCTGGGTTTCTGATGAGTCTGCACCCACATCTCAAGCACGTGCATGCACTTTGACTCAGCTTTCCTCTCAAGTCACCTCCATCCTGCAGGACTTCTATTGCTGCTCCAATTCTACCTCAAAATACAGCCTTAAAAACATGAAGAGTTCACCAAAACCCAGCAAAAGGGCTGGTATTCCAGCATATACATCTCCTTCATTATTTCTGTTCAGTCACCAACTGATACAGAAAGAGATATAAAACAGCAGAGATGAAACAAGATCCTGTGGGTTACCATCCTCCACGCAGCTCCGTTCCACTGCACCCTGACCATCTCCTACCTTGCACAACCTGGGATGCCCACCTTGCCATCAGTAGCACACAGTACTTGAGCATATTGTGCATTACTAGCACTCTCCCTTAAGTTCTCAAGGTAGAGGCACACTTTCTTCAGATCACACAACTGACATGGGACAGCACAGAGACATCCAGATTTGTTCCAGTAAATCAGAGTACCTCTATGACTGGTGTCCAGCTTCCATACAGCTCTGCACATACATGAATCCTTTCTGTGGAGGATGACTGAAGACGCCATGAGGACCAAAGTAACCTTCAAAGGCAGCCAGATGCCCAAACAGTAGAAATGTTTCTGTATACCTGTAAATCACCTGCACCGACAGCTCAAGACTTCTCTTCCGCACCCCTGTCCCCCTGCCCGCTCTCACCTTGATGTGTTTGTAGGGAGGAGGTTTCTTGTCATTCTTTTTGTCTTCCTGAAGCTGTCTCAGTTCTTTCTGTGCCTTCAACTCTTCAAATCTTACTGCAGCTTCCTGAAGAGCTAAGTGAGAGAACAGGCTGTGTTATGAGGAACTCCCTTTGTTCACATGGAGCTGGGCTGCCAGTGTCCACCCAGCGCTCACAGTTCCACAAGCAAACCTCCCTGGCCACGTACTTCAGAGGCAGAGGTTCACCAGAAGGGAGTGAACAAAAGGCCAATGCAGTAGGGCAGTTGCAGGAGTTACAGTAAGGGACCTGCCCATGGGTGACGAAGCGTCCAAACGGTCAGCTAGCTTTGCCTGCTTTTTTTATATACAGATAATGACTGTACTGGACACAGGGAAGCTGACAAAGCAGCAGCTCACTCGGCTTTAGAGCGTCTATGTCAGAGCTGGAGAAGCGTTCAAGATCTGCACACCCTTCTCCCTCTCCGGGAGTCAGATTACCGAACTTTCTGAGTGTGCTGGATTACAGATAAGCAGCAGTTCATTCTACAAATTTAATTTCACTTTAGCTCTAAAAAGACATTTTTCTCTGTTACAAGAATGCCACTTCCCCAAATGGGAATGAAGAGAAAAATGAACATGTACCTCCCTGGATGAAGACCAGTTACCTTTCTTGTATATGCCATCCACGCCCTTCCCCATCTTGTCTTTGCTGCTGACATCACCTTCCATGTAAGGGAACACACGGGCCTGGTGGGTCCACAGGTAATCCTTGGAGCCGAAGAACAGCACAGGAAACTCACCGATGTCATGTTTCATTTTCTGAATGTTAACAGGAATTGTCCTAGGATGGCAAATCTCAGCTGGCCACCACCTGCAACACAGGGAAGGGCAGATGAAACACCTCTGGCTTCTCCACTTCCAACCACCTCAGAAGTATCCTACTGCATGGAGATATTGGGTAAATGTGTGTGAGGGCTACCAGCAAGGCTGGTGGAGAGACAAGACGCTACTGGAGGAGGAAAGCATGAATTTTACCAGCGCTACATGCATGCAAAAAAGCCAGAGGCTGCTGCACTGTACCCTGCAAAGACGAGCAGCTTCTCACCTCAATCACCATGAGCATTGCATGAAAAAGGGATGGGGACAAGTCTGTTCTACCTTCACCTACCTGTAGCGCCCAACTTTCACCCAGACCACTTCCTTGTAGTGTGGCTTTTTGCCTGCCTTGCAATCATTACAATACCAGCTTCCCTCTGGCATCTCAATGTTTAGACACTCACGGTGAAACGCAGCTGGGCACGACTCACAGCATAAAAGGCTGCCCCCTGCAAAGAAAAGGAGTAGGAATTTATCAGAATCACTCTCCAGAAGCCCTGGATACTTCCAGATAGACACAGCTGAGAGAAGGGCACGATGCTCTTCTGCAAATGCTTTTCAAAAGTTATGCCCTACTCATACTGCGAAAAGAACTCTTCTAAGGATCCAGAAAAGGTCCTAGCCTGAAGTTGGACTTAAATAGGTATGGATAGGAAGGTAATTTGCACACTCTGGAGAGGCAAAGCTTCTGCCTGCTCTAATGACTTGTCAGGGCATTCCTTGGTGACAGGGGACCCAACACAGACCATCTCACCTTCCGAGCAGACAAAGCACCAGCTGACATTGACGTGCTCATGGTTGCGGCAGCCCCTCCGTGCAGTGAAGTGATTGGGGCAGATGATGCTGTTGGAGGCGAGGACCACAGACCCAGCAGCAAGGCAGAAGTCGTTGGAGTGGTACGCAACCGGACACCGCACACAGCGCATCAAGCGACCTAGCACCAGAACACATCGGAAACACAGTGAACCTCTAAAGGAGGACAATTTTTTGTTTCCTGCCAAAACTAGCCATTATTAATACCTAAGCTCAAAACAAGGAACTATAGGTGATCTTCGGAAAAGGAAACTGACCTTTAATTTTTATAGACCGACCATGACATGCTCAGTAGATTCCCATTAAATTATCTAATATAACAAAATATATATAAAATCATAAATACCTTTAATACATATTTATGTAACATATATAAAATTGTATTATTTAGAAGTGAAAAACCTGCTGCATGCTGTGCAGAAACAGTTCAAGAGTTCACAGACTGGGACTGCTTCCTATCATACACAAATAATTAGTAAATCAGCTCAGACAGTAATTACAGAGGGGGTGTTCCAAGTGCTTAGCTGCACATAATGAAACCAATCCGTGCAGCTTCTGAAAACATCAGCACTTGCCTCTCCACTTTATCAGATTTTACCCTGAAATTCCAGAACAGAGAATTCAGAATTGCCGGCAGGCTTAATTTATCCAAGGTTTTTGAAAGCCTGTTTTCAGTTCCTCACAGGAGACTATAGACAGGGAGAAGAGGTGGGAGGAAAGTGGTAAATCTGACCACCGAGAAGCAGCAGTCAGAGGAACACAACACAAATGTTCAGTGGGGAAGTGGTTAGCTGTGGGCTTTAGGCCTTACTGTTGTCTTCTACAGCAAATACTGATATCTGGGGGAAAAAAATACAACTTTAACACAGACCCTGAGGATAAAAATAGAGCTGGTCTTATTGTCACTCATCTTAAGATACCAAGGATTTAAAGGAACACAGCTTGAGAAACAAATATACAAGGCAATCACATGAAAGTTTTATGGTTAACTATGTGAGATAAAGGCCAAGGTATTGCTGCAAACAGCTCAAACAAATGTTTGCCTGAGAAGTTCAGCCCAAGGGTGTCACTACTACAAGATGAGAGGTCGCATTATAAAAGAAGAACTAGAACAACATCATAGTTTGTACCACGCTGCTCTCTATACTGTTGTCTCACCAGCTAGTGCTGCTAAACAGGCACCGTCTGCAGCACTGGCAGAGTGAAAAGCAGGTAGGAGAAACATGGGAGTGTCTGTACAGCCCCAGAGACTTATTCAAAAACTCCAAGAGGCATGTGGCATCGCTGGACGTGCAGGCATTCAAGCTTCTGCACAGACAAGAACATTTTAATTGCATGTCTGACCATCAGGAGTGCTGACGAGCAGCAACCTCGCATACTGACACCACCCCTCCCGCTCCCCCGAGAGAAGCTATTCCACAGCAAACACTACAGCAAGCACCGTGCCAAGGACAGAAAATCAACATAAAGAACTACTGGACCAGGTAACAGCACAGCAGACGTGAAACAAAGAAAAAGCTTCTAACTGCATCCTCTAGACCACCCTAGAAGATTTCGGTACCTTTAGATGCAGAGATGTTTGCTGGGTTAGCAGCATGACAAGTCATGCATATGTGCAGGGAGCATCGGAAGCCCTTGTTCTGCATGACCGTGGGCGGATACTTTTGTATGCACGCTTCATGGTAATACTTCCCACAGAGAGGCAGCAAGCACCGTTTCACATCTTCCCCACAGCTCTTGCACACAAAGCAGGTATGGACCCCTGGAGAAAGAGCAACAGACAAAACACGAGTCACATAGATAGGCTAAACGAAACGAAGATCTGACACTTCCACCAGGCAATGTGTTAGCACAGCGCAACTTCCCAAGCTGTTGTACCTACCCCAAAGCACAGGTCTCTGCAACAGGCTGGTTTTGCCTGCAGCTGCAATAAAACCCCAGATCAAAAAAAAATACTATTATAGCTGTGATTTCAGGCCAGGGAAAAATAAGAAGAAAAAATAAAAGTTGACAACCCTACTTAGACATTCCCCCTTTTTCAGCCTGCTTCAGGCTCATCCTCCCTACCAGCCCTCTATCCCTAGTCTCCGGTAAGAATTTCCCCTTCTCTTTCCCACCAGATCCTGGACATTCGCTTCTTCACACTCCAAACGCCTGAATAAACAGTAAGACCAGTTAATTAGAAAGGAATTATCAAACATCAACCCAATAATCAGAGGACTGAGAACTAGTTAGCGGCCCTACTGCAGGCACATCGCTCCAGCAAAGGAAGCACCAGGTAAGCACACAGCAAGCACCCTGTCCTGTGCTCACAAAAGCTGCCGTACCTGTGGAACACTCATTGCAGATGAATTTGCCCTTTGGCATCTCGGAGAGCCCAAGGCACTGCAGGTGGAAAGCACCACAGCACTGCGCCTCACACAGCAACAATTCCCCTGGCTTCTCGCAGATCTAAGGGGAACGAAGCACAATGTCAGCTCTGAGCAACCTCTTTCCCCAACTCTTCCCAGTCCCAGACAGCAACAATCCGCATGCTGGCCAGGACTGTCAGCAGAGACCCCTGCAGAAAAATGCTGTTTTCCTGTGTCAGTTAATTCAGGTAGTTTGTGCATCACCGCTGCCATTTGCCATCCAGTCCCTGCTACCGTGCATTAGCTAAAAGGAATCCTACGGTGGTCATGTCTCCCTAACATCTGTGACCTTTAGCAGGAGGAGAGGCAATCACAGAGGAAAGGCTAAATTCAGAGCACAAAAAGCTGGTTAATTCTACAATAAGCACCTTGAGGCTACCTGGGCTAGTTAGCGCAGGCTAGTGCCCCAGAACTTACACAAAAAGACTTTACAGTGGTAAAGTTTCAAAGAGATATCTACCTGACACACATTCTCCTTGAGAGCTGCTCCTCCTCCACGCTCCCCTTGCATCTTTTTGGACGAAGGCACTCCATGGTCGTTCTCTAACCCCTCTTCATTACCCTCTTTTGGGCTTGCAGCAGTCCCATGAACCGCTGTCTCCCCCTTTAAAAAGAAATCCAGAATCAGGGCTGCCAGTAGTTCGTCTCATGACTTGGAATCTACAAATTCAGCCATTGAGCATATAACAGGTTTCGCAGTTGGTCTGTGTGTGTTACCCACTCAGGAGAGAACATCCCCCATACAGTTCCACAAAAACACTTACAAGAAAGGAAAGAGCTCTTAGTTTTCTAGATCATTAAAAAAAAATAATACACCCTCAACACAATTATATTCCTGTGCGTAACACCTCTCTGAGGAACCAGTCACGGCTGAAGAAGAAAAGTACTGCCCTGCATAGAAACAAATCAGGTAGGTTGGAATAGTCTGAAGAATCCTGCATGCTGATGTCTGCTTGCACTGGAAACACAAATGAAAAACTTCAAATGATCTTTATTGCAGTTGTCACCCAGCAAATGAGCCAGACTTTTCCTCACACTTGTCTCAGCTTGTCCTAACCCATGTGAAATATAGGTACGTAGGTACTCAAGGTCTGTGTTAGTATGAACTAGGTGGCCAACACTAAAGTGAACAGTGCAGCAGGGCATTTACACCACCATCCTGCTTGGGGTAACGAGTCTTTCATAAGCATCAGTCCTGTACGAGTATCACAGCACTGACCATAACATCTACTGGTGAAAGAGCACCCTACTGAGAAGATGGGTTTCCAATTATAAAGGTCCAACCACGCCCTCACAGGCCAAGACAGGGATCCTGCCATAATGCTTCCCAAGGTGGAAGGACACCTTCTGATGTCTCCATGGGACGTGTCCCCACTGTTAGAGGGAAGGAGAGCAGCAGGTAACCTAGAGACACTTGTTTCTACCACAAGATACTGCTGTCCTGGACCTGTACATGGCAACACTGCCTTCACTTTTGCCAGGACAGGCAGCTAAGAGCTAGGAAATACCATCCTGCCAGCTCCCATGCCTCTTGGGCATAGTCCAGGCAACACTTCAGTGGTCTCACCAGCCCCAGCTGCCACTCTGGAGTGGGTACGCCTTACGGGCCATTAATGCTGCACCAAAGTGACACCTTTAGCTAAGTGCTTTGAGCAAGAACATTTTAAGGACTCTGCCATTTTTTAAAATCCCAGCTCACTGCAGCTAGCCGAGTGATCTCAGTGCATAGCTGCCAGTTCCTCCTTGGGTCACCAAGCCATACCTAGTGTATGACCAGACACAAACTGTACACCTGAAAGACTCTGAGGAATTCAAACTGCTGGCAGGAACAGCAGCTGTCACTCTCATACTTCCAATCTTACTTGGTGCCAGGCGTCCAGCTAATGACCATGAGAAGGAGTTTTGCACCACTTTCTGTATAGGAGAGCATCAGTCTGAGTTGTGGTGCTACTAAAGCTTGTAAGCTGAACTGAATGCCATCTGAACACATTATTAGTCTGGGCAAAACAAAGACATAAAGATCTCTCAAAGTCTAAAGCTGCAAGAACCTGGAGCTAGTATTCTGGTTGGATAATGATATTTCCTTTGCCTAGGTGGGGTTTTTTGTTCGTTTTTTTCTTTTTTTCATTCCCTGAATATAGCAGTATGCTTTTATCTGGGGACATTTTAAAGCCTGCGAGTTCTGTGGAGCAATGATGCACAGGCACACTCATGGTATATTAAAGCACACAATACAAAGATGAATGGTATAAATTGCCTTTATTGAGCACCAAAAAAAGCAAAGTCCCAGAAACAAACTACTGCCAGTCCAACATACCACACGGTGTACAGCCTTACAGACTATCATCACAATCTCACTGGAAGGCTAACAAGTGATGCAGCCTGCAGGAATACCGATAAGGAGCATGTAAGCTGCTGCCACCCTACCACACAGCCCTGGCAGAGGAAAGGGAAAGGTCTCTATGGCATTGTTAAAAAGACCATCTAAGGACACAACAGCCACCTTTGCCTCTATATGCAATAGCATCTTCTCAAGCTAAGTCCTATGATAATTCTGCTCCTGCAGCTGTATTTCTGCAAGGAATTCTGTAGTCTGCTGCAAGACAGCCCTCTGGCCCAAACACTCGCTTTGCCTCCTGGAATGCTCCAGGAGTAGCAACTAGTGCTCCAAGGACTGGTTACAGCTCAGGTCCTCCTATTCCTACATAGGTGCTCCCTCTTCTGCTCAGCCCAGCAGTGACCTCAGGGTTGCATGGGTCACTGTAAGGAAGAACAAGTGCAGGGTTAATCAGCTACTGGTATGAGTAAACAATGTCAGCTATAGCTTCTGCTTACCCTGGGGCCCCAGTGCTACAGACATAAGGCGAGCTCAGGGACCTCAGTGAGGGGCTGTCAGAAGGGACACGGTGGTGGTAAACAAGCACCTCCCATCCTGTGGTCAGTGGCATTAGCTTCCTGCTGCAGCTAAGGTTTCAAGATAGTGTTTTGGAAGTGGAGGGGGGGAACACACATACTCAGATCGGCTACAGACAGAGGTATGAGGGATTTAGAAATGGTTCATCTTTCTGTCCTTCTGGCCGCTTTCTACCATGGCTGCTAGGACTCCTTGGTTTGAAACCTGATGGCCATATTTCACTTGTCAATGGAATGGGAGACTAAAATGCATCTAGGACTCATATAAGATTAACCTGCAACTCCCTCTTCAGATCTGAAAGCATTTGCCAGTAGCAATGCTACCTTAACAACTGGGCGCATACTGCCCAGTGTGGCACAGCATGCTCAAGCCCTGCTCTCCCAGCCTAAACCCATCCTATTTGGTTCTGCAAACAGCGGGCCAATCTGCACATTTCACACACCCGGATCTTAGTCTTATTTTAATCAATGCTCCCAAAACCACATAGGGAAGGGAACGTCAGAGCTACGCAGGATGGGCAAGACCAGATACTTGTGCTTTGTGAACAGGGAGAAAGGGATCGCCATTCAAGGCTATCACTCAGAACAACCTGTCACACTGTTCCCCCTCCTTCCCCTACCCAGCATGACCACTGCAAAACTACATACCTCCTACAGAGGGCAGGTCTCTCATCTTGGGTCTTCTTCCAGAGCTATCTCTGCTGCTGTTATCTGGCACATCCTCAAAAGCCTGGCCTGTTCTTTGGCACAGCCTGACCTTGGCTCACAACCTTGACAACCATTTCAACAACATTTTCCATCCCCTTCTCTCAGTCTCTTGCTGCCCTGATGTTGTAAACTTGCACTCCTGGCTCCACAGACAGGCAAGGACAGAGAAGGCTGTTTAGTTCAGCCCAGGCAGAAAAGCTTTCCTCTGCTCTCTTTTCCTCTGAAGGCAGCCGGATCCAAGGCTTCACTGCGCTGTATCATCAGACTCTCTATTTCTTCTAGTACTGTTCAGCATAAAGTGGAGTTCCTTGCCTGGTGTGTGGAAAGTCACTTAGAGGCCAGCATGGTCTGAATTCCATGCAAAAGCACAGTTGCATCTCCACAGCACCCCAAAACTCACCAGTACCCATGCGCTCACCTAAGCCAAAGGGTGAACACTCTCACCACAGAGAAACGGATGCTGGCAAAGGTGCCACACATTGCCTTTTTTTTTGGGCATGGTTTATCATACCTAACTTCAGGTACTCAACACATATGTCTAAGGCTGGAGGCAGTTAAGACTCCCTGGGCTTCCTCTGCAGTGAATGGTGGGTACTGGATTCAGAGCCACGGCCTAGCTACTTTGCTGCTCTGAATTGCCCCCTTTTCTTGACTATAAAAGATTCACAGAGAATTCGCTGGCTTGCAGCTGAGCCAGACTCATAGTAGGTACCTAACAGTACAGTGTCAACTGTCCCCCCTCCCCAGCACTGGCAAAGATATTTGTACAGGCTCCTCTGAAACACAATTCCAGATGAGCACGCTTCAGAAAGAGCACTAACACCATCAGAGGAAGGCTTGCACAGCCAAGGGCTATTACCCCACTTTACCACCCCCATCAGATATGCTCTTTTCAAAAAGCAGTAACAGCAGAGTGCCTGGCACTGCTCAAAGTGGAAGCTGTATAACAACAACAAAATATAACAATATATGTCTATAATTGGCTCCTGAAATACATACTGACTATCCTGACAGAACAGCCTGCTGCTGAACTTGGGCCACTGGAAGTGAGAGGCGATGGTGAGAGGCCCAGAGGTGTCCCGCCTCTCCCAGGAAAAGTCTTGCTTCCCCTACACTTGGTGATACCTGGCTCATTCCTAAAAGGCAAAATGTGCTTGTCAGAGATATTTGTATGTCAACTCTGCTGGGATGCAGTAGAAGAGAGTTGCCCCAATTACCCCTTTCTGCTGGGTGGCAGAATCTATTCAGAGGCTCCTGAGAGCAGTCATGGACAGTCCCCCCAATCCCCTCCAACATGTTTCTTAGCTCACCCTGGCATGCAGGTGGCAAGTGGAAGAAGGGGTTGAAGTCCACAGTCTAGTGCTTGTGCTTCATATTGGTGCGTAAAAGAGCAAGACACCCGTCACCACCAGAGAAGATCTTTTATAGCAGTTAGACCTTCTGAGGTGCAAAGCAAGATGCTAGGCAACACCTGGATCAGATCAGAACAGCCTCTCTCCTAGAGAATTAGCTGAGTAGCAGCGTAAAAACTGAGCTCAAGTTAAGCAGTCATCACAAAATAGCTACTAAATCAAGGTGGTATCTTCAGCTTCAACCCCAGCTCATGCAACTACATCAGCAGGACAAACTCCCAACTGGTAACATCAGCCAGCCAAAGAGGACCTGGCCTAGGCTCTGCAGAGTGCCCTGGGAAGTAGCAGACTGGTTATAGAGATGACAGCAAGTAGGAAGACCCAACAGTACCTCAGAGTGCGGGGTCTCCCCCAGCCCCTCCTCATTTCTCTCCTTCTTGGAATGCATTGCAGTAGAGGGATGGCGCTGTCTCTTCCGCTTCCGCTGCTTCTCCAAGAGCTTTTCAGAAGCTGGGATGCAACAGAAAGACCACTCAAGGAAAATGCAGAAATAATTCCCTTGCTACAGGTGCCACCAGCAAGTTCCACACACTTTCTGAGACTTCAAGCTGGGTGCTATTGTCTTGGAGGGCATAAGGGCTGGGGCAATACCAGCCTCCAGGAAGCCTGCCCTCTGTCCTGCAGTCATCAGAGGACCACTGACTTGTACTGCTTTAAGCTTCTTTTGCTAGGCTGCTGAACAGTATCGCTGACTTCCCTGAGACAGACCCCCAGCAGCAAAGAAGAAATGCTACCAACACAAAGCTTACATTGCTAATTGGATGCTGATAACTACCTCCTCCTACTGCGCTGCAACAAAAAGTTCCTCATGTCAATACCAATGTAATACAAAGGCATATGGAGAGGGAGTACAATGCACTGTACAACTGTCCATGGGACAGGGCAGCCACTGTGAGTCTGGTCACAGCATGTCAGACAGTGTGTTGGTACAGGATCTGTGCTGACAAGTTTCCTTCAAGCACCCAGACTATAAATGAGAAGTGAACATCTCCTCATGGAAATATGAACCCACCATCTCAACCTTCCATAGGGAAATCAAAGACATAACAGCACTGTGGGTAAACCACCTCAGTACCTATTTCTTCTGCCATTGCCTCAGCTGAGGCAAGCATCCTCTGAGAGCCCAGGACACATAAGCCCTTACACACACACACAAACACACCAGCACTGATCCAAATGTCACCAACAACCTACCCGCACAGCCCTGCCTTCACTTACCTTCTCCCAGGTCCGGGAAGTGGGCTGGTGAGTAGAGCTCAGAACTGTCGCTCTCCGAAGGGCCAGTACCCTACAAACACATAACAGAGTCAAGTAACCAGATGCAAATCAGAGGTGCGGGTTCATCAGCCACTCAGAGCCTTTATGAGTGACCGCAACTTCTAACTTACGGTTCAAGTCATGAATTAATCGGTGATTAGAGACTTTACAAGAAAACATTTGTTTTGTGTGTGCGATAGATCCCACATGGAAAAGTCAGTCTCAGGGCAGGGAGGAATGCTGAGTTTGCTGTGTCTTGTGCTCACCAGCATCATCCGCTGTTTCCTGAGCTCTCCCAAAAGGGCTGCTAACACCCTGTAAGCTGCTGGGAAGAAAGACTTTCTTCTGGCTTTACACTTTTACGGAGCTTTAGACTGAAATACACTGGCCTCTGCGTTACTGCAACCATAACTGTATTAAGACTGTGCCACACAGAGAGAAAAAGGAAAGGAGGAAAACTGTTATTAATCAACCTAGAGACAGCAGCAACAAGTCTTGTGCACGTACACCACTTGAAATAATTACTTACAAGTTGCTTTTTTCCAAACCATGTAACTGAATATTTAGTGGAGAACAGCAGCATTTTCTTTAAAAATCTACACCAAGCACTCTATACTACATGCGATACAACTCAAGACTCCATCCTGCTACGAGTTCTGCGCTTACATACCATTCACCAGCTCACTTGGGAAGGTAACAAAGGAAACACTGCTCAGAGGAAATCTGATAGAAAAGGACAAAGCCTTAGGTTCAAGCTCCAAGCTACACTGCAACATAACAGTGACAGAAAAGCCTCTGTGCAGAACATTTCTGCTCACACCTTCCCAGCCAGCATCCAGATGACTCCTTTTCCATATAAATCAAAGAAGAGAGGAGATTTTACAGCCAAAACTACCCAATCCCCATTACAAGTGGGGCGGGGTGGGGAACACATCTGTATTCGGCAGATTTCTTCATCATAACACAGCAACCAGCACCTTTGGGAAGGGTGGACCTTTGCTCCTGGGCCACAGCCAACAAAAAAAAAACCACAGCCCATTGCACTGTGTCTCATTCATCAGGGTCTGTGTCTAGGCTCATTTTCTATCTGGATTTCAAAAGAGCTGGAAGGAAAGTACCTTCTTTGGGGGAGTCCACTCCTCCTTCTTTGGCATAAAGGCAGTGTCCAAATCATTGGATTCCAAGAGCTTTTTAGTGGGCTTCCTTTGACGCTTGCTTTCGAAGTTTCCTGCAATGAAACACTTCACATCAGATAAACAGGGGTTTTCTTCTCTTCAATCAGACTAAGACCATTAAGCAAATATCAGCCAACAGTTCAAAACTATCTGCTTCACCCTGTCTTTGAGATCATAAGCTCCTGGGACAGAGATGCCAATTACCTGTTTCTGTACAACTTCCACGAAAATGGACCTCAGTCTGCCATGATCTTCAGGCACACCTCAACATGCAATACAAAAATCCACCCACGGAAGAGTGACTATGAAGTTGATGCCAAGAGGTAATAGATCCTGGCAGTGCAACTGAGATCATAATTTCCCCATCACTTTGATCTGGCATAAGCCAGTCCTACCACTGACAAATACAGCCCTGCCTCTACTCCCACGCCACTTCCATTCATGCCGGATTCATGCCGTGCATAGTAAACAGGCTAAAGGACACACTCCTGGTTAAAACTACCTGGGAAAAGAACACCCCAAACAAACTAGCAGTGACCTGCACCGTTTCCTACTCAAGCATTTTGCTGGCACTCATGGGGTAACAAGCTGGTAGACCTGAGCTCATCCACACTAATTCTGGCAACAGTATAAACTTAAAACGACCAGGAAATTATGATGCTATGAGTGGAAGACACTCCACAGAAACAGCCTGCGATCCATCCTACCCCGTTCATCTGCTTGCTTTATCAGCGTCAGCTGTGTCCTTTCTGTGACACACACTTCTGTGTGCACTGCTTATGCAGCAGACACCTAATGGAGGGACAACACGGTATGGTTCAAGGCAAGCCTCTGTCCACAGCTTGTGGTCTGTGTGCTTCAGCAAGAGGTTAGTTTTCTCAGGAGGTAGAAGAGTTATGCAACCTCTGCATATTGGATGTTTGCTCCCACTGCTGCACCCTGAACTGTTCTCCTGCATCTCCAATCTCAGGTTCACACCTCCAGTTTTTCCTCCTTTAATCCCTCCAGCTTTCCATTTCCATCTGACACCCACAAGTCCCCAAAGGCAACCCCTCTGCCCTCAAACGTAACAGGTTAATTGACCTCCCAGTGACTGCACCTCTGTCTGCTTGCTTTAATTTTTTTGACCATCGGCCCTTTAGAACAGAAACAGCGTTACCTCCAAGTTAGCACAGCCAGAACACCAAGGCTTTAACCCTGGACATGTCTTTAGATGCTGCCAGAGAATGAACGTACTGCAAAGTAGACCCTGATATTGACTCTCTTGGAAAGGGAAAAAGCCTGTCAGACCACACTCGCTCTTTGCATACTGTGCCTTACTGAAAGCTAACGCCCTGGCTTGCTGCTACTACAAGTCTCTGACAATTTCTACAGATGTTTAGAACCTCTAAGAAAAAAAAAGTTTTTCCAGAGGGATTTCTGTGCTACAATTCCCCGAGCTCACTAGGAGAGCACAAGGTCATGCCATGAGCTATGCAGATTAGACTTTGCATATCAACCTCAGCACAGCAACATTCATCCAAAGGGTTTTAATAGCAGCAAGAGACCTTCAAGTTAAAGGAAGGCCACTGTTTGCAAGCACAGATGGCAAGGATTCAGAGAAAGAGTTGTGGCTTTCTTCATTTGGACAAAGGGGTGGTCTGTGCCAGGACTTAAGGAGGTCCATCACACACTACAGAAAACTAATAGCGTAAGTGTAGTCACCCAGCTGACTGGGTCACCCACTGCACCTACTTTGTCTGCCCTTCCAGCACCAGTAATGGTCACTGAATGAAGCAAAGCAAAAACAAACTAACAGATCAACAGCTACTAACCTTTTCATGCTGACCAAAGCAACAATTTCCACTGCACTTCTGACACATTCACCTACAGGAGCCGAATCACACAACCTCCCACTTACCTGATTTCAGGAATCTCTCTTCTGCATCTGGAGAAGCAGAAACTTCAGAAACATCTGAGGAAGACAGCACCAGCTCTGGAAAATCTGCAGGTCCTTCTAGAAGTTGATCAGTAGGATCAGTGGAATGCGATCCTAGTTCTGAGAAGGAGCACTCAGCTTCAAGGACGGGAGGGGACTCTTTGGTTGAAGATGGAGTTGAAACCAAAGAACTCGGCCCCCGCTGGGTATCTCTGTCAGGACTGCACTGTGCAGGGAGACTTCCTTCAAATTCAGACCTCACCACAGAATTCACCTAGCATAGCAAAACATGTTGGTGAAAACATTCAGCCTGAAGAGCACTCCACACAGCGAGAACACTCAGCCAGCAAGAACTCATCAAAGGCACGCAGACCAGAGCCCCACAGTAACAACCATGAAGAGCACATTAGCCTTCACCCACCTTTTGCAATTGCTCCTGGCCCTTCCTTGATTTTTTCTTGGGTGCAAATAAGTGATCATATTCTTCTGCATATTCCAGAAGCCGTTTACTTGGCTTTCTAAGGCGTTTCCTCTCTGAACGTACTAAGAAAAATGAAAGCAGCTTCAAGACTGTGTTTCTGAGATGATCACAAGACAAAATTCTCCTCCTGATCTGTAGATAACAGTTGTTCCTGCCTTCTCTTCCATAGGCTCCATGTGGGAAGAGCCCTGATACTTCTTTCTCTTTGATACAGCCTTATAATTTTTGAGCTTCCTAACTTCCACAATCCTGACATGGTAGGTGGGATTTTTAAGGACCTACGGTACTTCAAGCAGTTCAGATAAGAAATCAAAACACACTAGATATCTCACTGAGAGGCTCCTGGAATTTCACCCAACATCTCCACAGACAAACTACATCTAACCTTCTTGCAGTACTTTTACCAAAACCTAAGACCATTATCAACTCAGACTCATTATGCTACTTTTGCTGTTAACCCAAACTCCTTTGGTTTTAGTGCAGGGGCACGGGAAAACATTGTTTTCCCATAACACAGTTCATTCCCTAGTTTCACTATTAACACCTAAGCCTAATGCCTTCCTTTCCCCTCCTCCCTGCATATTTTTGTATATACTACAAGAGCCTTGTATTCCCCATCTGCTACTGCAAGCCCATTTATTGCCTTTGCTTCCTGACAATAGATTCCACAACGAGATCGGGGAGCGAACAGTCCTCGCCAGCGACTGCAAGCTCCTCAGGGCTCATATGTCTTTGTTTGCACAATGCTGCACCATCGCAAGGGAAACCCGGTAAGAGATATTTCCTCGATACAAACCTAACCACCCATGCTCTACCACCTTAACACCGCAATGCACGGCAAGCTCCAAAAAAAGAGCCCTGATGCTCTACATCATCTCTACTTAGCAAGCTGCAAAAGCAAGATGATGCAAGTTTATGGCTTTTTCTCACTTCCCGGAATACCTCTTACTCCCCGCTCCCCCTCTGCTTTTTTTTTTTTCCCACTTTTCAGAATAATTAAATAACACTGTCAAAAGATTTTCTCCTAGTCATGAAAACATTTGTAGTCTCCTGGAAGTTTAGGAACAAACTGTAAATACTCTTCTTTGCTTCTTTCCATGTGTAGGAGGTGTTTTTTTCTTCTTTAAAACGGAAACATTTTATAACAAAGTATTCCAGTGCAACACTTCAGAACAGGGCTGTTGGACAAGATTGCTACACTTTGTTGTGGCTTTGTGGTTAAACAAGCATGAAAATGTCAAACTCGGCCAAAAGAGAAGAAAGGAACAACTTTCTCAAACATAGCTATTTTCAGCCTCTATTAACACTCTGCGCAGGTGTCTGGGTGAAATACACATTTCAGCACACAACCAGTTACAGGATAAGCATCCTCACTGGGCAGCTATTTAGAGCCCCAAAGCCATGCAGTAGAGCACACAGAGTTGTGCCAGAAGGGCTGGCTTAACTGCATTTTTTTTCCCCAAAGCAAATCCTGGACAAGAATCCCAAATGCAGTCCTATTAGCACCAGCAAATCACTCACCTGACGAAACTATTACTTATGCAAGTTTTATGTCAGCTAATTCCAACAACCTTCACTTCTGCCTTATCTGCTCTAAATTGCACCACAAAGTTTGTAACAAAAATATGCCAAATGTTGCCATTCAACTATGATGAAGACTTCATGTAGTTGGAGTTCAGTGGAAATTACACACTTCTGAGGCAACCTGTTGTGATCTCTTATACTGATACTGCCTGCTGCGGATGAGGATTAGCCACATCTTCTCAAAGTGCATGCAAACAAAGGAAGCTCCTTCTCTTCTATAAGCTGCAGCTAGTCTAACTTCCAGCATCATTCTCTCTACTTTCTATGTAATTGGCCTTGCCTGATATAAAAGGAAGACTGGTTTTCATGAATGGGCTTTTCACAGCATTAGAGGTTTACTCACCACCCCAGCACACTGGGGATGTTACAGTAGTCCAAACAGCTCCTCATACATGGAGGCTCCGGTGCCTCCCTATGGCACAGCTGTACAGATAAGCTTTAGGTGTGCTTCAAGGTTCACACTCTATTTAGGGCAGGGGAATTAGATTACACTGCAGTTGCTGATCTGTCACTTTGGCAAGCAAACCCAGGCCCTCACTGTCGCTGCATCCCTGCATGCAGCATCAAGTCAGCTCTGTGCCCCTCTCCATCAACGCCACCTCGCCCAGGAGCCTGCTGCCTTCCTCTGCTGCTTCTCTCCTAACATTAGTACCTCTTAGCAGTGCTTCTTTTCTAGCTCTCTCTGTAGACGTGCATCTTCATCTCATGTAGCAACACTACAGGGCCACTTCAACTGCAAAACCACCATGAACCCATGAGAACCCGGCTGCATCTTAGTGCAAACGAGGAACTCGTTCCCTCCGGCAGGCTGCAACACTCCAGCAGAGCCTTGGCAGCCCCAGAACAACATGCATCTTGTCTGCTCTGCGAAGAGTCCTCAAAACCATGCAGCCATAGCCAGAGGAGTCAGTGAATTATTAAGCTTGTCATCATTTCAAATCAGAACTTTCACCCCATGTGTTACAGCCTACAGGCTCTTTTTCTGTGCCTGCTGTGACCCGCCTTGGGCAGGTCCTGTGACCAGTAAGCCAGGAGCTGCCTTTTCCAAACTGAGACAGAGGTGCAGGCAACCCTGCAACCACTAATAGCAAAATACACACCCCAAAATGTGCACTGAGGGAACACCTAAGTGACAAAATGCACACAGGGTCAAAATTCTGTCAAGTTATATTAGTTTATGATATTGCAAATTTAGTTTGCTGGGATTTTTATGTAAAAACATCATTTTGTTGTTTTCATTAAGGTTTTCTTCCCCAGATTCTTTGCAGAAGCCTGAGGATGGTATATCTTGAATGCATTGGACCTAGTCCCTCCATACATACGCTTGGGGGGGGTGGGATGGGCTTTAACCAAGTGTCCCCATCCCCGTAGAGGCAGGGCTGTCTGACCTTGTGGTCCTCAGAAGCCTCCTCCTCCTTCCTAGGTCATTTCCCTTCCAACGATGCTGCCATATTTCTGCCTGCCATCTTCCAGACCCACCTCCAAGCCCAGCCTCCCTGGCAGCTTCCCCCTCTTCTGTTCTCCACTTCAGCCCTCAGGTAGCCACACCAGAACCATAAATTAGGAAATCTGTGGGGTTCTCCAATTTATTATTATCAGTTAGTAAAATTCCACACTAAAATGCAAGAAAAAAAATCCCAACACATTGTCTAGATGAAATCCTACAGAACAAACCAAAGAGACTCTATGTCAAACAGTACTAGAAAAAAAAATAAGAGCAGCCATTGAGGCTCAGTTTCCCACAACTTTCTAGCACAGGTCTATCCAACTAACACCAAGCACATGGCTGTAAGGAACACATTATGAAGGTATAATTTAAAAAAAAAAAATCCCAAACTCAGAAGGATGCTTATTTCACCTTTCACTGTGGAAGAACTAATGATTTGTAATGTATTTAAACTTTCTGACCAAAAAGCTAAGCAAAATCCCATAATTGCTCTGCCTTCCTTGTTCTCCATGCTTACAGAGAACCAAAACCAATGTATCACACTTTCTTCAGCTCAGAGGTATACATCTTCATGTTATTAAACAGCCCCAAGATCCATAACTTATGCTTTAAATGAAAAAGTGTAAAATGTATACAAATACACACTCTGGCGCAAGTCCAGCTCCCTTACCTTGTGCAGAGAATTCAGACTGGGGAGCAAAGTTGCCAAGCTCTGTTTCTGAGTCCATCACACTGTTGTTTGGCTTACCACACACATTCAAACGTTTCTCAACTAAGTCTAAATGATTCTCATAGTCCTGATCTGTCAGGTCTCCCTCAAGCACCTTTGAATGAGGGGAATGCCTACGTCCCAAGCACTCATTTCCCTTCAGTGAAAAGCCACAAGAATTCAGGCCAAAGGCACTCTCCAAGTTTCCTTGTTCCCTAGATCTACTGAGGTGCTTATTAGATCTAGCACTGCTTTGGTTAAAACGCTGCCATCGCTTTTTGGGTGCTACATGATTTATATCATTAGACTCATCACCAAGAGAGCTCTCACTATTTGCCTCTGAATCCAAGTCTGGACTCGCCCCATTTTCAGCAGAAGGGCAGCTCTCAATATTTCTACCAGCTTCAGGTCTCCTTCCAATACGACCTAAATTGTCATCAGATAAACAGGCAGAGTCTTCATCAGTTGAATGTTCCGTTAAATCAACAGACTCTTTCCTCTCAGTATCTTCTGCTTCATTACCTAGAGGACTGGTAACCGAACCGTGAACGCGGAATGCATGTTCTCCTGAACCTCTGGATAACCGACTTAGCAACTTACTTGGCCCTCCTGGTTTTAAGTCCTTTCTGTTTGAAACTGTTTTATCTCCAAGCTTTGATGACTGCTTAGATTTTGAACAGTTGCGTTTGGACATACAATTTGTGCCATTTGTCCCAGAAACAGCAGCACTCGTGGGCTCCCTTTTACTAGTACCAATCCCCGTCAACTTGGTTGGAGGATTGCGTGAAAATGAGGAGTTGCTTATAGCAGAGTTTGGATTTACTGTTTCCTGGACACAATCTCCATTTTTTTCTATTTTATATGGGGGACCTACAATAGACAAGGACTTCAGACCACTTGTAGAATTGCTTCCAGAACCATCAGCTGTGCCAGGATTTCGAAATGGGACTATATTTTGACCAGTCATCAGTTGCTGTTCTTTTGTCTTACTGTCATGCATATCCTTCAACATCATTAACAAGGTGCTGAATTTGTAATCTGGCTCAATAGGCAAACGACCAGGACCAGAGGCGGAAGGGAAAAGTAAAGGTACTGCGGGCTTCGGAGTGCCAGAGTCACTAGCATCATCATTCATGGACCGATAAGACAGCTCCTTCAGCTCCGACAAGACGTGTTTCACCACAGCAGTCTCTATTTCAGCAGAATCCCTGGGTTTCTCATGCACGTTGTTTAACAGCTTCTGGCCATCAACTTTTCCACTTCTCTGAAGGCCAGAGAAACCTTTGGTATCAGAAGAGCAGCGATTCATACCACCCTCCTCTTCTGCAAGAGAAGGCTCCAACCCAGCAACTTTTTCTTTATGTTTGCATTTTATACTCCTGATTCCAGGCAATTTCATGCTTTTCGGTTTTAAGATTGCTTGATTTGCAACAGCAGGCCAGGAGCTGTCCTTGGAAACACTTTGGGGAGTAGCGTGCTTGTTTGCTAGTATTGTCATTTCTCACACCTGAAGAGCGCTCAAGAGCTGTCAATGACATCTCAGCATCAGAGAAGCCTATTTCAAGCTCTCCATCTGCAAATTCAGCACCAAGTCTACTGGTTACTGAACCTCCCAGAGGTTTGCGATCTCTGTATGACTTCTTCCTGGCCCTTCTGTTGCTCTTCTGAGAAAGATACATGGAAAGCTTAATGTTTCCACTTGATGTCATAGGAAATTCCTTCTCCACTTTATCTGAAGAATCACTAACTTCAAGAGCACTAGAAGCTCTCTCTGAACTTTGGTCCATGGTATCTACATCACTGTTCCCACCATCTGAGAGGGAAGAGGATGAATCTGATTCAGTTTGCTTTTTCTCAATACCAACATCAGACGCAGAATAGTGTATTTGTAATTTGGAACTGCACAAAATGCCCAGGGAGCTCTTCTCTCTCTCCAAAGATGTGCTGGAAAACAAACTCCCTTGGAGAGTGCTCTTCAGAGTATCACTTTTACGATTCTCATAGTCTGTTTTCAAAGATGTCTTTTCAAAACGTCTTTCTCCAAAGGAGGAAAGCAAATGTTTTTCCCTAGTGCCACTCGATGCTGTTAGGCTGCTGGCAATCCGGCGAAGTTCATGAGATGCATGTTTGTCTGGTAGGTCCCCAACAATCATGTTTCTAACTATGCTCTCTGGCATTTTTTCTTTGATTCCTCCCCTAGACGCTTCCCCTCTTGCGCCACTCTTTTTTACTCTAGTCCTTTTTCTGCTGTCAGAACTTTTTTTCACATGTGGCTTAATATGCAATTTTCCTTTTTCACTGGCCAGGTGTCTGGAGTCAAATGCCAAGGATTTAAAACAGCCATTCAGCTGCCTGTCCCTTTCTGCTCCAGGGCCATTGGCATAGTATTCTGACTGTACTTCCTTCTCGCTGTCCAGCTCGCTGGAGTTCTGGCTGCACTTTTGATCCTCTGGCCCCCCAAGAAGAATGTCTTCTGCCTGTCCAACACTGACTTCCCATTTAGCCATAAATCTTTGAGGAACCTTAAAGTTGGAGGAGACAAAAAAAAAAAAAAAGAGAGAAAGAAAAAATTTGAGCGGGTAACCAACAACATAAAAGCGAGATCTAGGTGCACAAGGCACAGAACAGAACGACAGTCCTGCATTTTGCATCTTTAAAGACAATCACACGGACTCCCACAGACTGTTCCCAGCAGACACAGAAAATACTGCTCCTGAATAAGTACTCTGCACTCCTGCTGAGCCCAATAAAAATCCCTGCGCATTCCAAAAACAGCAAAAAGGTCCCTGCAAGCACAAGTCCCCCAGGAACCAGATGTCCTGGCATCCCAGCACACCCTGAACACAACAGCCTGTAAAGGGGAATGCATATGGTATGGATCGCTGGCACAGAAATGCAAAGCAACAGCCAACAAGCCTCTCCAAGCAAATGCGGCATCGTTTTCCTCAAAATATTTGAGCAGACATGTTTGTTTTGCTCATTCTTGATTCTTCCTGCATCCGTTAAACTCTGAGCACGATACAATCTTCCCTCTCCATCAACTCGCCTTGGTACAAACATGAGATCCACACACACATCTAAAATGTACTCTATCGAAATCAAGATGCCTATTACTGAGAAGTCTCCCACCTTTAATTCTACCTTTGGTATATCAAAAGAAAACAAAACAAAACCCCAAAACACTCTGCATACTGGACAGGAACCTCTGCTACCATCTGAAACCATGAGAAACTTGTTTCTTATCTGTGTGCATAGTTTTTGGCTGCACAACAGCAAACCAAAGGCTTCACAACTGCTCCTAAAATCAAAACCGATTCCAAGGCAGGAGGAACAACTCAAATTTCTGACACTTTTCCTTTAAAAGAGAACCACACCAACAAAATCTCATCTCAGCAGATTAAAAAAAGTTTTATGGAGCCTGAGAGCAAACCAGCCAAATACTCTCAGCTTTGCATCAGATCTTGGCTTCCATGGATGCAAACCTGGACACTTACGCAAGCAACAAACATTTGATTCCCTTTACTGCAGCCACACTGGCACTGCCATTTACACACAGGATGAGATTCTAGCCATGCAGCACTCCTAGGACCAGAGAAGTTACTTGGGAGCATGTAAGTAGTTGTTAGGGGGCTGGGAACACAAGGAGAGAGGTCCTTAGAGAAGATACTGAATATGCCCTTGAAAAAGGAAAACCAAATGAAAGCACTACACCCGGGGACTCACCTGCAAGAGCACATTTAGTCTGACGGTTTTGCACTAACACAGGTTAAGTACATAACTGCTAACAAACCTCTTGGAAAAACAGAAAAAGCAACACCAGATACCGTTGCCTAGCATGACTATCTGCTCTCTTACAGTAATGCAGCAGCCTCTGTACTTCTTCACTTCAGCAATTCTAAAAAGTTAACTTTCTCCAGTCACCTTCCTAAAGACATAGACCAGACCCCTGTGCCATGTTACATTATACTGGCTACAACTGCTCCAAGCTGTTATGTTTGGAAACAGAGATGATGTGATGAGCCACAAAACTCACTCCCACAGGCTCACTGACAAAAGGTTTTTCCAAGTCAAATTATAAGTCCTAACAAGTTTCTATAAAGAGAATTACCGAAGCAGGGCTAAAAACCCCACTGCTTTATCTCAGTCAGTGATCTAGTGAAGCGTGCAACTCCACCTCTGCTGCAGATCAGCCAAAAGAGCCTGCCAGAGAGCACAGGAAGTTATTTAGAAGCGCACTGCAATAGACATCAGGAGAGGGCTGCGTCGCTGAGCAGATCTCACACCGACAAAGACCTGACTCCTCTGCCTCTCAGAGCTGTCTAGGGCAATAAAAGCAGCAGGCCACACCCCGGCATAAAAGAGAGCCTAGAAACTCCTGACAGCTTATAAACTATCCTCATTGTAAGGATGCAAAGAATCACTTCCCTGGTTGCGTTGCTGCAGTCACTGCCACAGAAGAGAGCTGTCAAAGTGCAATTCCAGGCACAAAGGAATACTTTGTACTGTGTAGATTCAAAGCAGCAAAAACATATTAGAGAAAACAGAACTTTCACCTTATGTTTGTAGCCTTTTTCCTTTTGCTTTCCTCTTCTCCGAAGAATAGGCAGCTCTTCAAACTGATGCCTTCCTTCAAAGAGGACAATAGCTTTCCCAGCAACCCAGGTTTTCTCTGAAGTTTCTCCTAAGGCATCCACATAGTACTCTCGGTACGGTCTCCGATTGGAAACTATTTTGAGAAATTTTACAGAATTAACCCCTTGCATATAACAATAAAGACACACAAAAAGAATCACAGGAAGCTGTAACAATTTGCCAGTTAATTTTCAACCAGTTTTTGCTTAATAACATTCCCACATGAATGCCACTTCTGGGGATTTCTACTCAGAACTAAGGGAGATCTTTTGTTGCTATTCTCTAAGTTGTTGTGGTTTTTTTCTTACAAGCAATTGATTAACAGGTCTAAGATTGGTCATCTCCCTAGAGCAAAGACTACAGTTTGGCTGCAAAAAAAATTCCAAAAATATCCAAATATCTTTTTCTTTGAGACACACAACATACTAGGCAGGACATTTCTTTTTTGCTACTCCCTGATTAATGATTAAACAGTCCAGTCCACTTGACCGTTGGGAAAAGGCAACAGTGTGCTGGTAGCAACACCCAGAAATTACATCCTTCTGGATAGGATTTACTCACACAGGTTGAATCTCCCCCACCATGATATATCCCATCTTGTTCAATACTTTGTTACCAAACAAACTCTTACTTAGGACACAAAACATTAACAGAAGTATTTAAGCAAGTACACATATGCACACACACTCTACAAGGACAAGGTGCAACACGACAAAATATTAGTTACAACGAGTATATCCATACTTTGGGCATGAAGATGCAGAGCAAGAGAAGAAGTTCAATCACAAGGGCACAAAGAGCTTTCAAAGGTGCTTTCTGTGTGAGAATGCTGAACAGACATGGTACAATTAAGAACTGAACCAGTACTGGGTATGCTGGTGAAAAAGGACAGGTTACAAGCACTAGAACAGAGCAAACAAGGCTTGAACAAGGGATGTAAACTTCTCCTTGCATTTCACTGCAATGTGTGCTTCACATTCTCCTGGGAACACCTTCAGCCTCTGAACACATAGCCTAGACTTCACAGTCCGTCTGGTCTGTGCTGCCAGCACAGTGCGGCAGCCTGGCCTTTAGCGATGCTGACACCGAGATTCTGACCAAGACCACCAAGAGGATGACAAACAATGACCAGGGCAACACCAAACCAAGGGCAAAGAAGACAGACTTCATCCATCTCATTCACAGCACTGGGACTCAAGCCACTGAGCCTCAACCTCCCAGCTCCAAAAATGTTTGATACGAGAGCTTGCTGAGAAAAGGCAAACTGCTTTAAACAAAATACCATGCCTCAAACCCAAGAGGAGAAGAGGTTTTTGCACAAGTGATGAGTTTGAAGCGACCTGCCTTGTTTTAAAGGGCTCGTTCCCTTGACAACAGGAGAGCCAAGGCAGGAGGACTGTGCTTCCTACAGTGCACACAAAGCCCTGGCAGCTTCCCCTGCCCAAAAGCACCAGAGTTCAGATCCACCCGCTCTGCCACCTCGGGATCGGGGAGGGGAGACAAGCAAATTACATACAGTCACAACTGGAAAATGCAATTTTCCCCAAGCTCTATTGGTTTGAATACGGATAAAACATGATGGAAGAGTCTATCCTGTAGCTGGAGAGCAGACCTTGCTGGAATTTGTTAATAGCATGCTTCCTCCCTGCAGAATTCCTGTATTAGAAATCCTCATACACAGGCTGAGAGGGGATTACTGGACAGCTATATACATGAAATCCTGTCCAAAACTTCATGGGGAGGGATGCGGGGGCAGAATATATGTCTGGCATATCTTCCAGCAACATCTTCAACAGGAATCTGAGAGCTCGAAAGGGACTATTTAAAACAGCACATCAAGCATTGTCTACAATCAGGAACAAATGCCTTCCAAAAGGATGAAGGAGAAGGTGGATAAACAGCAAGTAAGAAGACTACAACAACCAGACTTGGGGGCGACGTGAGCACAATGTTTTTTACTTCATGTCTCTAGAGAAATAGCAGAGGGCTCTGAGCTGATGGGCACTCAAAAAAAAGTCTACTTGCTCTCAGCACTTGGTTCTTAGGCTGGCAAGGGCCACAAAAACTGGAGAGAAATACACCGGTGAGTTGTAATCTCACCAGCCTACAGAGCTGTCAGTGGCAGACGGCGCCAGTTCAAGGGGTTTCCAGTTGCCCACAGAACAAAAAGCATCAAAAGGGGAAACCAGGAACACATAAATAAGCCTTTTCATTTGTGGCGGTCTCCCCCTGTCAGGTAGTATGATTCTAAAAGCAAACCAAACAATCACTTTCCTTCTGTTCTCTCCATCACTCACCTACACTTCTCTGCCTTGAGCTTGTAAAACTCTCTTTCTTCCTGGCTGTCCCCTGCGTTCATGCATGCACAGCTCTGTCTTATTTCCCCCCATCTCCTCCCCTCACACTCAGCTTGCTCTTAGTTTCTCTGACACACTATGGCCTAAACTTTCACATATGTGGCTCCATCTCCAGGTTTCTCGGATATTTCCCCATAAACAGCCCCTTGCTTCCTTCTGCCAAACAAGACCAAAAAAGTTTCACTTCCTTGCACACATTGCCATCACACCTTCACACATTCAGCAACTACACTGCACGACCCCACACCCCGCTTCTCAGCCTCTCCAGCCCCCTGTTCTCCAAGTCTGGCCAACTCTCTGTGTCCTCACACACTCCAGGTTTCCCAGCTCTGCTGACTCACCCATTGCATGTCTCTGTCCGCACCTCTCTGATCCACCCGTTTCTTCTCTGCAGCCCTTTTTTGAGAAGCTGTTCTTTCTTCTGCACTGCCCTGAGCTCAGCCCAGTTGCTCATCCTTCCTATACTCTGGGAAGAAAAGCCTGCATGTCCAACAGCTATCTGTGCCGCTTCCATCAGCCTCAACCTCATCTTCCTCCTGTCACCTCCCTGACCTAGGTCTACTTTATAGATCCAGGTCTTCCACAGTAGAGTCTACGTCTTCATACCTTTCAAAGGCCAAAAATGTGTTTGGCTTTTTTTTTTTTTAAATTAATTAAAAAGTGCAGCACCCTGCCATACACAACACCTCCACTTTGTGGTCTGAGTAGATACAGTACCTTTCATTTTTGAGTGACAGTCCAGCACTGGGTCATGACAAATTGTGCATGGCCACCATGGGCGTCTGTTGAACTTGGCCCAAACAAGATCCCCAACTTCATACTTCACTGGAGTAGGTTTCTTCTTGGCTCGGATCTTTGGGGAAAAACCAGAACACAAGAAATCACTAAAGCTCCAGATGCTTTTAAAGAGATTTGCCTCCCCCCTGTGTGCAGATTACATCTGGCCACCAGAGACATTTACATTAAAAAGTAAATCCTGATTTTACTTAGTGGCTCCTACACCTTCAAAGAACATGATGGTTCCTTCCATCCTTCTGAAAGAACAAAACAATAAACCGGGGTTTGAGATGTTTTTTTGTTATTTTTTTTTAGTAAGGAACATGACCTCTGGTAAATGACTGCACTCAAACTTCACACATTCAAGCAGGTAAATACTTGGAGTCACTATTAGCCCCCATTACTTCTTCACTAACATCAATTTGTTCATTTCAAAGGTTGCAGTGTACAGAAAAAGTAGTAGTAAGAGACAATTAAATATTCCTGACTGCAAGAAGGTGATGAGAACAGCAAATAAAGTGTTTATCAATTAAAAAAAAAAGGTTGGTATGTACAAGCTAATAACTTCCCTGCTTCTCAGATGTGTTCAGGTAAAAGCTTCACCATAAAGTATTTCAAACCAAAGGCAGGTGCAATCAGAAAAAAAAACAAAACTTATGTCCTAATTTTTAGTTTATATGAGCAGAACTGCCATTGCTCTGCCTCAAAACTACAGAACAGAAGAAAAGGAGTACAATGGCAGTCAACCCCCCTCTGGGAGACAGACGGACACACGGACTTTGCCTGTCTCCAAAACTGGCTCACAAGTACCAGCTCTGTAGAAAGTCACCCAAACCCCCTCTGCTTCCCAGAGCTGCGCAGCGATCACAAGAATGTCAAAATTGTTCAACACACAAAAACCTAACGCTACTTAATGCCATTTCTGTCTCACTAGAAGAGCAGAGAGCAGATCCCGTGCTGTTTGGTAAGTAGGCACACTCCCTGGCTGGATGCTGCACTACTAGCAGGACCTCTATCAAGAAGAGGATTCAGGAGCTTACCGGTGTTGTGACTGAGTCAAGCCATGGTACAGTAGGTTTACACAGCATACAGGAGTCCCCATGCCCAGCTGTGGGGTATCCTGCCTGTTTACCAGCACCAGCCAACTACACATCACAGGCGGGTTCTGCATTTTAACAGCTCTAAGAAGTGTTGCAGGTATTATTCTTGCCGACAAGTATCAACAATATGCTCCTCATTAAAGCTGTCATAGCACAAATACACACCTTCTCACTTCCATTTCTCCATCCTGCTCACCACCCTTCCTGAGGAAAGTCTCTTGCAATTCATAGTTCAACATCCTAGCAACTAAAACACAACAGACCTCTCTAATAAAAGGTACATTCCGCTTCAGGTTGAATTTTATGGGTTTTCTTCATGTGGTTAAAGAAAATACAAAAGGATAAATTCTTCTGTTACATGAAAAAAAGCAGGTAATGATGTTACAGGCTACATCGCTGAAATTCTTCTGTGTCATCAAAAGCCACGCAATAACTTTTTGCTGAGCAGGAGCTCAGGAACGGGAAGATGAAGAAGCCGCGGGCAAGGGGCTGCAGACCCTCGCTCTGCCATTGCCCTGCTGCAGCCTCTGTGCCTCCACAGACACAGGTTTTCTGGAACAAAAGGACGCATCCCGGAGCATGGGAACCAGAGGTGCTGCCTTTGCTGGTGCTTTTAAAATGCGGATGCACTTTCAGATGCAAATTTTTGGTCCATTTCCAGTTTGTACTGTTCTTGTAAATGTGACTTTTGTCTCAAAAAAATTTTTTAACATATTTTTCAACCCTAGGCTTCAAGGGGCATATGTATATGATAACCGATTATCTCAAATGCAGTGCATAGTACACACACAATGTGTGTGCAGCTTACTGACAACTGTAACCTGAGCACAGTCAGCTGGACAGAGCAGTAAAACCATGCTGGAGATTTGCCAAAGCCATTCACACTGATCCACCTGAGGAACATCCACAACCCCTGCCCAGAGGCAAGTCTGCATTTAAATCGACTCTTTGTCACCCTCTAATAGCCCACACAGGCGCCTGATGGAAACGTGGCTTTCAAGAAACTATTCAGACAATGCTTAAACAGTTACACCTCTTTCTGAGCCATCCGCAGCTATTCTCATTCCTCCCCAGTTTGCTCTCTCCCTTCCCCGACACTAGCAGGCAGTTGTTGGCCTCATCAGCACCCACCACAAAAGCCCCACGAGGAGTCGAAGAAGCATATCCACGTTCTGATGTCCCGAGGAAGAGCTTTGCAACAAGACCTGCTGCACCAGGTCATCGTCTGGCACTATTTTCTTCTCTTCTCTCCCCAAATCCCACCACCTAGCCAGAGATCACTTTACATTTCCAGAGGAGAAAAAAAAAAAATTCTGCAAGGGAGTTTTAACATTTGTACCATTAAAAAAAACTAGCAGAGGAATGAAAGCAGTAGTTACTGTCATTTCAAGGTACATTAAGTCCCTTCCTTTAAACTCTGCTGTGTGATGCCAGAATTACAGCCCCCAAAGCAGGTATTTCTTGGGTTGGAATGAAAATTTGTTGTATTCTTACTACAATTAACATTTACTATGGCAGAGATCAAACTGCTAATATATCCTGATGGCTAAAAATGCAGCCCTGCAGTAGTGGTGACTTTTCTGTGAATTAGGGAAAGCCCAAGGTTTTTTTAAACACAACAAACTTCAGATGTAGTTTCTACATATGGCCAGAGTACTGTTTACCTACAGAACATGGAAATGTTCAAGTGTTTAAATAACAAGAAAACTTGTGAGCCACTGCACAGCAGGTAGGTACCATGTTGTGACTCCAGTGGAGATACACTGAAGAAATTCAAAGTAGGTAAGAGACTGGGTTAGTGAGGAAGGGAAGGGCAGTGTCGGTGAGCAGCATCACAGTTTTTGTATTGTTAGACATTCTCCTAAAGGGAGTCAGTACGGTCTACTCTTATCAACTGTGCGATATTAATTTGCTGTTCAGATGGGACACACTACAGCCTAAACTCTAGATGACAGGCAGTATTTCAGACCACTTTGCGCTATTTTTGGAGAGAACAAGAATGTATCTTGTGAATGTTTTTAATCAAGCCCTCTCCACAAATGCAAGACCCCAAACGACCACCGATTACTGAGGAAGGGGTCACAAGCCAAAGTTCAGCAGCAGGATCACATACACACTTCTACCTTGAAAGTAACCTCCTGAATTCGTACTACAAACACACCAGTCTGCGATTTACCAAGTGAAATACCAAAAGATGGTGCTCAGCTTCATGAGAAAGGAGGCTTCCTAATAGCAAGTACCTCTGCCCTCCGGAAATTCTCACCATAAGGCAAACATGAAACACATCAAGCAACGAAAGCTTACGTTTCTAAGTGATTTTATTGTTGTACATATACTGTCAGTCCCCAACCCTCTCTCACCAATTCTTCCCTTTAAAATAACTGCATCATTAAAAAGTGACAAAAATAATGCTTATCCAGTAACCACTCTTGGCTCTGTCACTTGAAGCTCCTGTCCAATTCACTACTCTTGCTGGAAGACGTGGCACAAAGCACAATTCCAAAACCACACACGGATACGTTGACAGCCACGGGCACACCATTCCTGCAGCACTGGTCACCTCTGTGTAACACCCAGAGCAGCACCATCACCTCCAGCGCAGCGTGGTACAGCTGCAGACAACCCACGAGCCCCAACAGCATCACTGGGGATGCAATCATCTTGGCAGAGCCACAGTAACACCAAACCGCATGCAAAGGAGCGGACATACATGTTGTTACAGGCCAACGTTTTCAATAACATGTACCCAAAATGCCTAGCCGTCCAGAGCCCAAGTACCGAGCTGCAGCCATCGTAGCCCTGCACACTTCAAATTCAGATCTGCTTTGGAAAGCCATCATGGAAATGCTTGGCCAAAATTGCCCTATTATAGTTTATTCCTGACAATTATAAATACATTATTCAATGAAGCAAGGGACAGAACACGCTTTTGGAAAAAGGCTGGGGCAGCAAAAGAGATTGCGTGTGAGGATGGAGAAAGCAAGAAGGAAGTCACTGACCCCCAAGAATGATGGAGGAATATCCCACCAAGCCGGTTTCAGGCACAAAATGGACAGAAGTAAAGGTAAGGAAGAAAATAAAAGGAGGCAGCCACATCTAAACAATAATTAAATAATACAATACAAACAATGACACTAATAGCCTTTTCTGCTGAGCATGCGGCAGATATCTGCCCAGGGCCCTGCAGCAGGAGCAGGGGATATCTGGTGAGCAAATCTCACCACATCGGGAGCTGCCAGGTTAAGTCACACCCCGCACATCAGTGCTGGGGGCAGAAGGCGGTAACAATTCTGCCCCATAAACTTCCAGTGCTCTCTACAAACCTTCTCATTCCTGGGGCAGCAACCCTCATGCTTCTCCCTGCAGCCCATCGACCCCCAGGGTTACAAACAAGCTGTTCCCAATACGTACTACTTATTAGTTAGAACTGGAAGCCTGGTGAGGGTCAGTCCACTGTCTTCCCCACCACCACCTTTCTTTCCTTAAAGTTCAATGATCATCAGTTTTTTCCTGAACAGATGAGATGACAAGGAGTTCACCTAATTCCTACAAGCCACCAACCCACCCCCAGATAAGGCTGAACTGGCTGAAGATCAACAGCTCTTCGTACCGGGAAAAAAAAAAAAGAAAAATTTTAACAAAGCAAACTTGAGGGAGAAATTACACTTGAAGGCACCTGGACTAGCCTGGGCCAAACAATCTGCTTAAAGCAGCATCTACTAACACAACCAACCGCACGGCCGGTGTCACAGGCACACCATGCCTAGGACACATTGCTCCCAACTCCTGCCCTTTCACCATCGCACAACAGGTTATTCACCCTCTGCCCTCGCAAAGCAGGGGAGCAACTGGTGCCAATTCTCTCTGTTTAAAAGCATTCCCAGAACTAGCCTGGAAGGGCCTCCCTAAAGCTATCCCAAAAGTTTTCACGAGACAGTGCTTCCCTCCAGCTAAAGTTCAAGCTCACTGAATTAAC